GGAGTCCTGCAGTGAGCCTGATTCTGGTCTTCCATGTTGCTTGGAGCAAAACTCACCTGTGACTTCAGTGTCCCACTCACCTTTTTTAATTTCTGTTTTGATTTTGATTTTTACGTTTTCTTTCTTTCTTGTTTTTCTGAGGAAAATTAGCCCCAAGCTAACATCTGCCATCAATCCTCCTCTTTTTGCTGAGGAAGACTGGCCCTGAGCTAACATCCGTGCCCAACTTCCTCTACTTTGTATGTGGGACGCCTACCCAAGCACGGCTTAACAAGCAGTGCGTAGGTCTACACCTGGGATCTGAACCAGCGAACTCCGGGCCTCCGAAGCAGAACATGCAAACCTACCTTCACCATGGGGCCGGCCCCTACATTTTCTAATTGCTATGTGTTTGGGGCAAAGACAAGCCAAAAAGTCATCTTGACTGGGTGGCTGTTGCACAGCCATTTTGCTATGATATTAATTAATTTATGGCCCCTTGTTTTCAAAAAAGATACTTGTTCAGTAAAAAATGTGTTTAATTGTACATGTTCATGACTATAAAAGCCATCTACAGAACCTGATTGCATCCTAGAAATTCCATAAAATTCATTAAGACGTGTGTGAAAACAGACACGATGGAAACGTTAAAGCAATACATGAATGGGTACGATGTTGTTCACAACTCTCAGAGCAGTTACACGATATAGGAAGACTAAGTACATCTTCAGAGTGGAAGGCCTCCTTGGGGGAGTAGTAAACTGAAAGGAATTGAGCTCCTCTCTGATTATCTACAAGTTTTCGGGGGAGAAATGGAATTCTAGGATTTGATCACGTGTTTTCCGTATGTGAGCAGCCTCTCTTTAAACAGTTTAAATTTAATTCCATTCACAAATATTCATCGTGGTAGGGTGCTAGAGAAACACAGCTGGGTAAAATAGTCTCTGACTCATGGAAGTCACAGTTGGGGATGGCAGGGAGAGACATGCAAACAATGACGTTTCGATGGGGTGACAGCACTCCCGGGATCCAAACGTAACGATGTTATCGTGATGGGATGAGTCCACACAGAGCTTCACAGAGACATGGGTGTGGTAGCAACAGTTAATTGTACCGGGTGGTTGTCAGGGAAAGCTGCAAAGACAATGTGATATTTAGACGGGAATCCGGTTACATGGACAGGAGGCGTTCGCCTCGCCGGTGCAGGCTGATCCGCCGCAGGAACCGGGGCTGGGGCAGCGTTTTGACCTCGCACCGCAGCGCACGGTCCAGCACCCGGTCGATAGGAGGCCCGCACTCCGACCCCGCTGAGGTTGGGGGCCCGCCGGTCGCCAGGGGGCGCCGTGGCATCGCGTCGTCGCGGCCGTTGCGTTTCCGGGCACCGGGGCCCAGCGCCGCCATCGCCGCCGGGCGAGCCCCAGCCGCGCGCCGCGAATCGCCTGCCGCTCCCGTTACCGGGGCAACTGCGGCGCCTCCTCCGCGCCGGCCCGGAGCGGCTCTCCGCGCCATTTTCAAACTGCCCTAGCGCCGGAGCCGGTGTCTGGGGCGGAAGGAGCAGCGAGGCAGGCTCGGCTCGGCGCGATGCGGCCGCAGGCGGAGCGAGCGGCGGCCGGAGCTGCGGGTGAGCGTGGCCGCGGCGGCGGGGGGGGCCGGGCGGCGGGCGGGGCGGCGGCGCCTTCCCCTCCAGGCGGTCCCCGCGGGCCGGCCCGGGCGCTGCCGGGAGGGAGGCCGCGCGGCCGCGGGAGGAAGTGGGGCCGAGTCGAGTCGAGTCGAGCCGAGGCGGGCGGGGCGGGGCGCCGAGGCTCCCGCCGGGCCCGCTGCCCGCAGCCCCTTCCCTCCGGCGGCCGACGGTGGAGCTGCGGGCCGGGGGCGGCCGGGGCGGCTCGAGCCGCGATGTCCTCCTGCCCGCCCTCCAGCCCCAGGCCGGCTGTCGGTCCGTGCCGAGCGGCATGCTGCGCACTGACGGCTTCATTTAAAAGTTAAAATGCCCTCTTCGTATACCAGTCAGACCTGCTCTTTGTAATCAAAAATGCCGAAAGCGCAGGGCGGGAGCCATCTGGGAACCTTTGCTCGGCATCTTTCAAAACATCCCCTCTGCCTTCCAGTCTCTGCTGGTTTACGTTCAGTAAGGAAGGACTCCCGGGCCGCCTTGGTTAAGGGTTTATTGTGGTTTGAAACCCCAATGCGGACATACACACGGGATATTTTTGTAAAAATATTATGTATTGGCTTTCAGACGGCAACCCCCCAGGTAAGCAGGTGGGTGGTTGTAAACGTGTAAGCATGGGGGACCTCCAAACTTAACCTTTTATGTTATTTTGCTAGAAATTTACGGTATAGCCACCATATTTGGATGATGGAGGTGGGGAGAAGACAGCAGCTCAGGGGTGGGGAAAGCCTACTACATCTTTTTTGTCCTTCTGGGAGGATTTTGATCTTTTTCATCCGTCCTGTGTGTTAAGGCTGTGGTCATGATTTTTTGGTTTGTTCTCTCTCTCACTCAGCAGGGTGTAAGGAAGTATTATTCCTCGGTAACCACAGTTGGTACCAAAGAGGAGAAATGTCTGAATGTTGCAGGCCCGGCTAGTTCTTGGCTTGACAGGTGTGTTTCTGATGTCTCCGGGAGTTTCTCTAAAACACCCTGCATCCAGTTGGGTCCCACTTGTGGAAGGAACCCAGAAAGTCCATGGGGAAGTCACTCAAAGAAAAGGTTAGCAAGAATGGGTAGAAAGATTGTAGAAAGGAGTAACCAAGGAGACGTACTAATTTGGAAGTGATTTGGTTAGGTTGAGGCGGCATGGTACCGATACCAGAGTGCTGGACCAGGACTCAGGAGGCCTGGCTCCCAGTGGCTGCCCACCAGCTTTGTGGCCCTGCGGTTTGGGAAAAGTTATCCTCTTGAGACAGCCTGTCCTCATCTTTGAATAGGGAGAATATCCAAGGAGCGTATCGTTGGCCCCATCTCTCTCACAGGATAGTTGTGAGGATCGTATTTTGCACGTAGTCACATGCGTTCGCATTTTATAAATTGTGAAGAGCAATAGAGGTGTGAAACAGTTTTTGTTTCGTATGGAACTGTGAGTGCTAGAACTGTATTTCCTTGGCAAAGGTTAGAAAAGAGCAAAGTTTGTAAAGAAGTGATCTTTGGATAACTCCATTTTCGGGCAGATTGATAGAGAATATATTCATAAATATTTAAAAAGACAAGAGTTGATACATGCGCAGAGATACTTATGTGTGTGTTCTTTTTTAAATGGAAGTAAAATTTACGTGATGAAATTCGCAGATCTTAAGCGTACCGTTTGAAAGCTTTAATAACTGTGCACGCTTGTATAATTGCTGCTCCAATCAACAGAATATTTTCGTCACCCTGGAAAGCTTTCTCTTAGCCCTTCCAGTCAGTCTCCACCCACTCCCACGACCCCAGGTAACTGCTGTTCTAATTTCTTTCTTTTTTTTTTTTTTTGGAGAAAGATTAGCCCTGAGCTAACTACTGCCAATCCTCCTCTTTTTGCTGAGGAAGACTGGCCCTGAGCTAACCTCCATGCCCATCTTCCTCTACTTTGTATGTGGGACGCCTACCATAACATGGCTAGCCAAGCGGTGCCGTGCCCTCACCCGGGATCCGAACCAGGGAACCCCGGGCCGCCGAGAAGCGCCACATGCGAACTTAACCGCTGTGCCACTGGGCCAGCCCCCACTGTTCTAATTTCTGTCCACATAGTTTAATTTTGCCTGTTCTTGAACTTCATGTAAATGGAATCTACAGTATTTCTCTGTCTTCTGTTGCTCAAATAATGCTTTTCAAATTCATCCATGTGGTTAATGTGTTTCAGTAGTTCCTTGCCTCTTATTCCTGAGTGGTTTAACATTGTATAAAGATATCATGGTTTATTTATCCTTCTGCTGTTGATGGATTTATAGGTTGTTTCCAGTCTGGGTCTATTATGAATAAAGCTGCTATGAATATTCCTGTAGAGTCTCTTCACGGATGTTCATTTTCGTTTCCTTGAGTAAATACCTAGAAGCAGAATTACAGAGTTATAGGGTAGAAGGATGTTTAACTTTATACACTTTTTCCACAGTGATTTTACTCTTCTGTCAGGAGTGTAAAAATTCCAGCTGCTCCAAATCCTTGACAACATTTGGTTTTGTATTTTTAATTTTAGCCATTCTAGCATAGGTTAATTTGTTCCTCATTGTGGTTTGAATTTGTGTTTCCCTAACGACTAATGGTGTTAAGCACCTTTTCATATGATTAGGCCCATTCAGATATCTTGTGCAAAGTGCCTGTTCAAGTCTTTAGCCCATTTTCTTATTAGGGTGTTTGTCTTTTTTATTAAGGAATTGTAAGAGTTCTTTATGTTATTCCAAATCTTTTCTCAGATGTTATATTTTCTCCCACTCTTTTGTTTGCCTTTTTGTTTTCTTAATGGAATAGTTTGATTAGCAGACGTTTTTAATTTGATGAAGTTGAATTTATGAAGTTTTTCTTTTATATTTGGTGATTTTAAAAGAGGCTTCTCTAAGAATTCTCTGCCTATCTCAGGCTCAGGAAAATAGTCTGTTTTGGTTTCTTCTAGAAACTTTATTGTTTTAACTTTATATGCAAGTTTATGAAGAGATACTTATTTTACTGCAAGAACATGAATCTCATAAGCATTGGATTTAAATCTGTCTAAATATTCCAGAAAGCTGCCTACCTAAAGAGAAAGAAAAAATCCTGCTTCCTATTAAAAGAATCTTTTCTTCTTATCATGAAACAGTAATAACAGCTACAATAGTAGAATGACATTTCTCTTTTTTCTTTTAGGACTTTAATTTTTGGGATTGAATAGAACTAGTTTTGGAAGACAACATGGCTACAGCTGTAGAAAGAAAGTATATGAATATCAGAAGAAGATTGGATCAGCTGGGGTACCGCCAGACTCTGACGGTGGATTGTTTACCTTTGGTAGAAAAACTTTTCAGGTAAAGATGAAAATACAGTTCTAAACCTGTATGACCCTTAATCCCATTTATCTAGTTTCTGATTGAACTTCATGCTTCAGTAAAGAAACGGGTAGATTTCTGAAAAGGCCTTAGAGCATCTGAAGCTCCTCTTTGCTTCCTAGGTCCTTCTCCCCTGACATCAGTTCTGGGCTTCCACATTACAGAACTCTAGGGGCACCATTCACACCACGCCGTGAGAGTAACCATTTCTGAGGTTGTCCCTGTGAATAGAATTACAGTTTCTTATGTGGTTTTCTGATGTAGTTGGGAGTTCTATGTCTGCCTCACTCACTGGTCTTTAATTGCTATTATATTAATCTTTGTGATTTTTGTTCTTTTCCACATGAGCTCTCTTCCTGTGGTTTGAGACTGGAGCAGGGAAGTTACTTAGGAAGGTTTTGCAGTAGGACCACAAGTGATGGTGATGGAAAGGAGAGAATGGGTGAAAGATATTTGTGGTCTTTAGTGTGGCCTTCATGATCTGGTCCCTGCAGCTTCATCTCCCATGTGGTGAGCCACTTGAAGCTCTCTACACATATGTACGCTCTCACCCTTGGTCTCTCCACTGCTCTTCTATCTGCTTGTGAAGCCCCTCTCTCCTCTCCCTCCTCCCTTGCCTTTGTGCTTGGTTAGCTATATGGCCTGCAGGACTCCATCACGTCTGTTCCCTGCTACCTTAACTACTCAGCATTATTGGAAACTTGTTTTTGTCTTCCCTTTAGAATGCAAACTCCATGAGACTAGAGACAGACTTTATCACTGCTGTACCTGGGGCAGGCTGAACATGTAGTTGGGACTGAAGTATTTGTTGAGTTTATCACATGGTATTATAACTTTTTGGACAAACTGTCAATAGAGATAAGCTCCTTGATGGTGGGTTCTTTATTGTGTTCCCTACTCGATAAATATTGATGGGGTACATATTCCACTGGCATATGTTCTTAGAGGTGAGGAATTGATTCTTATTTATTGTGTCCCTGGCACATAGCATGTAGCAGGCACTGAATAAATATTTGCTACATGAACACATTAGTTTCACAGATTCCACAGGATCAGGTAACCAACTGGACATGAGGAATGAGTGAGAGGGGAGATTCAAAGATGATTCTAGGGGCTAGCCCCATGGCCGAGTGGTTAGGTTTGCACACTCTGCTTTGGCAGCCCAGGGTTTCCCTGGTTTGAATCCTGGGTGCAGACCTAGCACCACTCGTCATGCCATGCTGAGGTGACATCCCACGGGCCACAGCTAGAGGGACCCACAACTAGGGTATACAACTATGTACTGGGGGGCTTTGGGGAGAAGGAAAAATAAATAAATAAGTAAAATCTTAAAAAAAAAAAAAAGAAAGATGATTCTAACTGTATATATTTCATAATTTTTAATTAATCTTATTTTGAGAAATTTTTAAACATTTCCTGGTACCTTGAAAGATTCCTAGTGTTTTTGCTTGGTTTTAGATTTAAGCTCACTAGTAGTAACATATATTTTAAGGCTTTTTAGAATTTATTTTTAGTTATTAGAAAGTTAATGGAATATTTCCTTGAATTTACATTTGTTCTTTAATTTTAGTGACCTCGTTCATACCACAGAAAGTCTTCGGAAATCAAAATTATCTGCTCTGAAAGCTGAAAAAGAAAGTGCCAATTTTGATTTTATTTTGGAACCTTATAAACTTGAAAATGCAAGATTGATCAGGGAAAATAATGAATTATACCTGGAATTAATGAAACAGAGAGAACAATCAGACCAACACATTAAAGGTGAAATTTTGTGATTTTTAAAATGCAATATTTTTGCCCTTTTTGTTTTATATGTAGGAAAGGCTAGTCTAATTTTAAAACTATTTATAAGGAAATGTAGTAGTCGTCTTGCTAACAGCTCTTGAAATACAGTAGGGTGTATTGAAGAGTTCCTGAGAAGGAAAATAAATTTGCATTCCATAGCTGTATTTGTCTTCACTATATGTGGATTATATTTTTGCATTTATAGTCGCTGTGGAAAGATTAAATGCTGGAAGTGAAGAACTGTTCTTGAAACAACTTTTGTTTTTCCCTTTCTGGAAATAAGAGTAAAGTGAGGCGAAAGCCATGTATCATTCTGATTCTTTAATACTCCATCTGTGAGCTGGAAGGTAGAATCGAATGATTTCAAAGGTCCTAGGCAGAGGATAATTTTAGGGCTATCTTATTATAAGTTCTTCTTACAGTCAGTAGAAAGCCTTGTCTGAAACCTGACATGAATTCATAATTCCTTAACTTCCCACCCAATTTACTGGATCAAAAGCCATGGTTTATATTAGGCTCATACTGCAGAAGAAAAATATAATCCCCTTTCTTGCTTAATGACTTATTTGCAGTTTTGTTACTAGTGGTAGAAAAGTTAATAGCCTTCCAAACAAAGCATGCATAAGGATCAGGTGGAGCCTTTCAAAGTGATGTGACTTTTTGTATTTTGTGAAATGGAAGAACTCTGGAGATTTCTTGATCTGTAAAATAGTCTGAATTGTTTTCATTTTAAGAGTTGAAAACTACATTGAAGAAGTGTGCACGTGAAACAGCTGATCTCAAATTTCTAAATAACCAGTATGTTCATAAAGTCAAACTTTTGGAGAAAGAGAGCAAAGCTAAAAATGAAAAAATTCAACAACTCCAAGAAAAGAATTTGCATGCTGTAGTGCAAACTCCAGGTAAGTCTATTCCTTCTCAAAACAAATTATACACCTCTAATCTTTTAAAGATGTTTAAACTGTTGACTGAAACAGAACTTTGAATTTTCATGCTAGACTTTAGTATTTGAAAAGCTATATCTGGATAGTCGGAAAAACTTTTGATATATTTCTGAATATCCAAGTAGTGTTTTTTACATGTGCTTAGAAGCTTATGTAATAATAGCCTCTTAGATGCAAGTAGTCTAACTTCAATGCCCTGAGTTTTATCTCCTTAATCATTATTTTAAATTCTTTTTCCTCTTATTATTATCATTATTATTACTATTTTAGTTATAAAAGTAATCCATACTCAGAGAATCCGGAAATGATGTACTTTCTTAGTTTTACTGTTTTGAGCTTTATGCTCAGTGGTTCTCGAGCACGAGGAAAGAAAGAATAGGGCATATCCAGAGTTGACGGCTGTCCGGGCGTAAGGTTGGTAGAAGAATCTCCAGTACTAGTGATAGATCATTGAGATGCCTGAACCATGGGATCAACATCATAGAAGTAAGTGAGGTGTAGGAAAGTACTGGATTATGAGACTTAACTAGAGACTGAAGAATTGAAGAGCGTGGTGAGGACAATAGTTTGGTCAGAATGAAGATTATGATCAGAAGGGAAGTGAAGATATAGAGGCTGGCACGGTTCTAAGTAGTGACAAAGTCCAAGCAGTCATGTTGTTGTGTGCTTGAAGCTGAGTAGAGAAGAGACCCATGAGAGTCAACAGATTAGGAATTGAGTGGCCAGGGTCGGGGAAGAATCAGTGGAGCTCAAGATGGCAGGAAATGGGGTGGAGAGGGAGACTGATCCAAAGGCAGAACAGATGGGGAAAAATGGGAGATCTCGAAAGTAACTGGAAGATTAAGAAAAAAAAGAAGATAATCAGGTTATCTGAGAAAAGAATGGGACAGATTCAGAAATGTAGTCTATAGAATTTAGTGACTGAATATGGCAGACGTGGGAGGTAGAGGCATTCCCAGATTTCTGTTTCAAGTGAATGAGCGGGTCGATGATGGCCCTTTGTCTTAAGAGAGAGAATGTGGGAGGTGGAGCAGGAGTCTGCTTTTGGATGTGCTGAGTATGTTGTGCGCACAGGACATTCACCTTGAGATTTCTGCTGTGCTGTGAGATATATAGATCTGTTCTCAGAAGTGTGGTCCCCGACGGAGATTCAAATTTGGAGTCCCTGGAGTATCATAGAAATTGAAGCTATGGATGTGGTAGGAAATATCCAGTGAGATCATGTAGCCTGAGAAGAGAGAATCAAAGACGGACCCTAGGGAAGTTGGCATTTAAGGGACTGATGGAAAAAGAGAAGAGGGTCTTTGAAAGAAACTGAGGAGGAATCAAGGAAGAAAACCAGGAGACAAAGGAAGAAGAAAATCATTCATCGTATTTAGGTGTATAATTACATCAGGTCATTTAAATACTTTTCCCTCGGTTGCTTCATCTTCAAAATGAGAGATAGAAGTATACAAAATTTATTAGGATTCTAATGAAGACAAACTTGTGGGTTATGTTTGTTCTTCGTGGGGATCAATAGTTTTTCAAGTTTACGTCTCATCTTGGGCAGATGCTGGAAAAGGTAAAGTATCCACGTTTGGACCAAGAGAGGCTATATCTATTCCTAAAAAGAAATTATTCCTGCCAGTTTTAAGGATAATTAAGAAAACCTTCTCCACTAATTTAGATTATAGCATGATTTTATGTTACAGATGACATTCCATTATATACTAATTTTGCTACTTTAAGTTTCAATTACCTGTTCTTTTGGCCTTGCTTAATAAGCATGTGTATTTAGTTCTCACTGTCTTAAGCTCCTTGTTTCACAGTTTTCTGCTGGTGATGATTTCCTGAGCTCATCATAGTGGACACCACAGGGCACACTTAATCTTGCTGATGCCTGGTCCTCATCTAGTGGAGGAATAGATTAAATCTGGGCATACATGTAAGCATACAGAAAGTAAAACTTATTGTATAACCATGTCTTGTTGAGGTTTTCAGAAATGGCGTTATTTATAAAGATCAGAGTAGGTATTTATATATGAGGGAGCAAATATTTTATCAGTGTATAATATGAGGCCAGAGGCACACTTTATAACAAAAGGGCTAACCTTCTGGAATATTTAATTCTAAGATAATGGTTGTTTCTTTTTAGTTTTTTGAAATATGTGTGTTTTTTCTAGGTGGCAAGAAAAGGAGTATTGCTTTCAGGCGCCAGCGTATGCAAATTGACGAACCAGTCCCTCCCTCTGAAGTCAGTTCATATCCAGTGCCTCAGCCAGAAGACCCTTACATTGCAGACCTCCTGCAGGTGGCTGATAACAGGTGCATTAAATAATTTTTTGTTGGCTTTTGTTAATTGATCACTTGATTAACTAAGTTTCTTGATAGTAGGGCTTTTGTCTTCTGAACTGTTGTATCCCCAGCGCCTAGCACAGAACTTTGCACAAGCACTCAGTAAATACTTTCTGAATGTATTCTGAGTATCGAATGTTGTTAAACTTGTTTTGAAATGTTGGTTTCAGATAGATTGTGTATTTGATGTTTCTGTCTGTTTACTGTGAAACAGTGTAGTGCCATTTAGAACCTGTTTTAGTAGAGTTGCTTTGACATTGAGTTTCACCACCCAAGTAAAGTTATTTTTTACAGGACTCTATTACTTGAGATTTACGTCAAATGCCGATGGACATGAATAGATTTGTAACTGGCTTTGAAATTCTTGCTTCATGATTCTCTAGCTCTGTATGTTTGTATTTCCTTAAATTGCAATCAACTAAATTCCATTTTAGTTGAAACTTTGTTAATCTCTCTGGGAAGAGCACTATGTAAATGTTCTGGGGATGTAAAGATGAATGAGATGGTATTGCTGCTTTTGAGAAGCTTAAAATCCAGTAGTGAAGATGAAACAAGGAGAAATACATAAAATGCCATTAAGAAAATTATAAAGGATTCAAAGGAGCAAGAGAACACTAGTGACAACTTCTGTGGTCATAGCTGGAGAAACACTTTAAAATATGGAATACACTAGTGGAAATGGTTAGTGCAGATAACTTTCTATTTTGTAGGTTATGCAGAGAATATGGGAGAGTTTGCCGCTTTATTAATCTCAATGTAACAATCTAAAAAGAAATGTGGTTGAGGTACTGATTAGGATCTCTTAGCTCAGTTATTCTAACACGGTATTATGTATCTGTATTTATACAGTTATCTAACCTAACCTTAACCATGACATATTTTGTATTTTGTTCTTCTGTTACAGTTTTAATCTAGGATTTCTCAGGCAATGTATTGGTATTATTTAAGGAGTTTTTTTGGGCTGTATTTGTATCATTTTCTTCGTCTTTCTTTCTCCTTAACATTTTTATTTCCTATCAAACTGTCTTAGGTGGCATTAGTCTCTTGATTATCTTATTTTAATTTGCACACCCACCCTTTGTTTGTATTGAGTCATTCGTGCATAAATGAGTTCAGTTGCATACATGCTCTTCTCCTGCACCTAGATGAGTAGAAAATGTTGGTTCCAGTAAAAGCAGGGATGAGCTGTGTCCAGCCTTGCTTACTCTACCCCATAGAAAATCTCTCTTAAAAGCAGACCCAGCTTCAGGCTTTATCTTTCCAGTGTGAAAATGGTTGTGTCATATTTATGTTAATGCTTGGCAAGGTTGGGTGTAGTATAAATCCACGTGAGCAATTGTAGAATTCAGGTAACCTGGACAAATCCTGATTCTGTTAGAATTAACCAGTTCCAGAAAGGAGTAGGTCTTTTGCTGTAATTACTTAGAAAATTGTGGTATGTCTCAATATTTTTCTTCTTCCCAGGATTGCAGGTGGTTTATTAGAAAATACAGGATCAGTTAGGGTCAGAAAACATTTTAGTCCTTTATTTCACTTAATAATGTTGTGAATTTTGGCCTAGAACCTCAGGTTCCTGAACCTAAGGATCAAAATGCAGTAGTGGGTGTTTTATTACATAACTTATCTGTTTCAAATTATTTACCACTCAAGTTTTTATCTCTTAGAAAATTAACTCTACAGGATGATGTACTCTATTTATGCAGTGGTTTTGGAACCCTTTGGCACAGCACCTCATATCTCATTGAGAAACAGAAAGTAGAGAATTTACAAAAGAATGTATCTAGTTTTGTTTCTTGTTATTTTGTATTTCTTAACAAAAGTATATTGGCATTAGTTATGGATGTGTTTCAGAATTCAAGAACTTCAACAGGAAGTCCACCAGTTACAAGAAAAATTAGCAATGATGGAAAGTGGACTGAGAGATTATAACAAGCAGGTAGGATTTTTATTTACTTGCATAGTGGGGCTTGAGATGAGTATGCCATGATTGTAAAGAGAACTGGGTTATATTTGATATTACTGATACTGAGTTTTTATGCAGCTTTTACGTTTTTCATCCATGTGTTAATAGAGTTAATAGCTGGAATCGTTTAGATGTCTTTAGAGAACTCTAGTGCATTCCCTTCATTATGAATTGTAGTTTTTCATTTTGTTTTATTTAATTGTTTTTCTTTTAGGTGAGTCAAATATTTACCCAAATAGAGTTTTATAACTGTATTACTGTTTCCATCGTAGGGGTTATTTTATTGAAGTGTGCTGTGTTTTATAATGGTCTTTTAAGTATTTTTTTACTCTTAACTTAGGGGTTTTGTTATTTTGAACATAAGTCTCTTTGGAAGTTGCTCTTATTTCTGTGTTGCCATATTTTTTTTGCTTTCTCTGCAAGCACTAGTATTTGATAAAAGTTTTTGAAGAATCGGGGGAATTAGGTACAGAATTAGATCATAACCATACAAGTGTTGTTGTTTCATATTTTCTGTTGGTGTCTTGGCTAAATTCTGATTTGAGTAATTGCAGGCTTTCTCTCTTCATATGCTTCCTGAAGTTTATATTGGGTAACACGTTTTTCATTTTCTGCACATGACTGCATTTTTTTGGAGTGATGTGATCTGCACATACAAATATAGATCTAACTTATATGTTGGGGTAACTGTTAGGTTTGTAAAGTACTTTGAGGATTATTTGGATAAAAATGGCGTTAAAAGAAAAGGAATCGTAATAATGTCAACCAAAAAACTTACTTTATGGAGAAATGTTGAAAATATCAAATATGCACGAGTTGAATATTATTGGTATTTTTTCAAATTATAATCACACTTTCATCACATTTTTTCCAAGTACTTTATGAACATAAACTGACCAGTCTTTACCATCTCTGTGTGGTGGCTGAGGTATTTGGAGAAAACAGCTTGACCATTCTGATTGAAACTGCCAGTTTGTTGTGGTTATCAGTCTTAGCTGAGTCTACTCTGCTCCCTGTCAATTTTTTTTTTTTTGCTTGAGTTTTGTTTTTCTCAGCATATGTTCTAAATTTTGCTGTTCTCTTCAAGCTCTTTCCCCAACCTATGATACCCTCCTTCTCAGGATATCGCCTTATCTCAACTTCCTATCTCTGCCTTTAAAATTAGCAATATTCACACCCAGGCTCTCAAGACTTAATGGGTAGGGTGTTGTTCTTCCTGTTTAAGGCTTAGTCTTTCTATCTCTGTTCTTGGCCCCAGTTCCTCTCTTCTCCTTAGGACTTTGCTTTAATCACTTTTAATTTCTTTCTTATATGGCCACTTTGTAATTATTAATTCTTTTAATCTTCATGACAGTCCTATGAGAAGGCGCTATCATCACCACTAACATCCCTTAGAAAAATCTCTCTAACCACCTCTCCCTCTTGCTAATGCCTTCTCCTTCTCCCTTATGCAACTTCTCTAAAGAGTGTCTTACTCCTCTGTCTCCACTTCTCTACCTTCTGCTCACTGCTTGACCTATTGCAGTCTGGCTTCTGCCCCCCACTACATAAATTAGCCTAGTTAATGACACCAGTCACATTAATTGCTAGATCCAAAAGGATACTTTTAGTCTTTATTTTCTTGACCCACTCTGTGGTATTTGACGTTATTGATAATTTCTCTTAGAAACTCTTCCATGATTTCATTTTCTCTCCTTTTTTTTTAACCTCTTATAATTTTTTCTGTGCTTTTTTTCCCTCTGCCCATTCCCTGAAGTATTAGTGTTTATGAAGATTCTGTCTTTGACCCCTTCTCCTTTCTCTGTATATTTTCTCAAGTGGTCTCATCCACTCTCTTGATTTAAGATATTGTCTGTATGTTGATGACTCCCCAAGCTCTCAGACTCAAAGCTCTCTGCTGAGCTCTAGACTCGTATACTCAACTTAGCACTGGGCATTTCCACTTGGATGAAGGTTCTTCATACTCAGATGCCTAGTACTGAACTTGTTACTTCTGCCTCAACTCTGTTTTTCCTCCTGTGTTGTCTTTTTTGGTTGGTAGCATCACCATCTGCCCAACCTAACACTCTTTAGTCTTTCCAGATCTGGTTGTCTTCCCTTCACACACCACCAAGTTCTGTCAGTTCTGTGTAAGTACTTCCTAAACTTATTTCTTCTGCTCTACCCTATCCCACTGTTTATTTTCGGCCTTAATCCTCTCTCGTACATTTCTACAATAGGTTTCCTTGCTTCTGCTTCTTTTCTCATCAGATGGATCCTTTATCCAGAGTAATCTTTCTGTGAGCAAAGTATTCAGAGCTTATCACAGCTAGTTCTTGCCTGATACTTGAGACTCATCTCCCACCGTTAGTTCCCCTGCACATGACAGTCCAGTTATGCTGAGCCATTTCTACTCCCTCAAACATACCATGTTGTTTTATGCTTCTGTCACTGCCTGGAGCATCCCTCCTTTCTTCTCTTCATAGCATCATTTGTAACCCTTTGGACATACTTATTTGATAAGGCCTTCACTAATTTCCACATGCGTGAATATCTCATGGGGAGTAAATCACTTTATTCCCTTAGATACTTTGGTGCCATATCCCTATTTCCTTTATTCTACCATTGAACAATGTATTAGGTAGCAATTACTGGTTTACTTGCTAGTTTTCCCTGTAAAGCTGTGTTCCTGAAAGTCAAGGACCGTGTTTTATTCTCTGTCTACCTAGAACTGTGCTCAGTAATTGTTGAATTGAGTACTTGGTTTTTGTTTTCAGGGGGTATTTTGGAAAAAAAGCCAAAGATTGAAAGTGTGTGGGTTTTTCCAAATTCTTGCATGTGAATAAGTGTGAATTCATAGTGAATAGTGATCTTTTTGATTATGCATCTGTTGTTTTCTAAATAGCAGATAATTGAATTTACTCCAGCTTCCTCTCCTTTTTAATATTGAGTTTCTGTAGCAGTTCACTTTTCTTTGGGTTTTACATTCCTTCGTTTATTCTCCATTTATTCCACCAAACACTGAAGTAGTTCAGACTCAGTTCCAGTACTCAGTAGTTTCTTTTTATATAAACATTCCCTAATCTTAGAGGAGGAGGAGAAAACCCAAAAATTAAATTAGGAAGAATCTATTCAATGGAAATACTTATGAAAGCTATGTTGACAGTTCTCTTTCTCTCTCTTTTTTTTTTCTGCTGAGGAAGATTTGCCTTGAGCTAACCTCTGTTGCCAGTCTTCCTCTTTTTGTTTGAGGAAGATTTGCCCTGAGCTAACGTCTATACAAATTTTCCTCTAGTTTATGTGTGGGTTGCTGACACAGCGTGGCTGATGAGTGGTGTAGGTCCATGCCCCGGATCCAAACCTGCAGACCTGGGCTGCCAAGGTGGAGCGCCCAAACTTAATCACTACGCCACCGGGCCAGGCCTCTGTGTTGACAATTGTCATGTTGACATTTTCTGTGTAGTTTGTTTTTGCTCTACTTATATGCATTTTGTAATCCCATATATGTGTGGGTACATATATGAATGTTAATCTCTTGTATACATTGTGCAACTTAAGAAAAATAGAGGGGCTGGCCCCGTGGCCGAGTGGTTAAGTTTGTATGCTCTGCTTTGGTGGCGCAGGGTTTCGCTAGTTCGAATCCTGGGCACGGACATGGCACTGCTCATTAGGCCATGCTGAGGCGGCATCCCACATGCCACAACTAGAAGGACCCACAATTAAAAATACACAACTATGTACCAGGGGGCTTTGGGAGAGAAAAGGAAAAATAAAAAAAAAATTAAAAAAAAAAGATAAATAGAAGTATATCCAAGTAAATGTTTGTCCAGTGTTAATCAGTTCGGGTCAAAACCAGATTTCTTTAAGTGATAACACAACTTTATGTCTTCAGATTGAGCTAAGAGAGCGAGAGATAGAACGACTGTCGGTCGCATTGGATGGTGGTCGCTCCCCTGACATCCTCTCTCTGGAGACTAGAAATAAAACCAATGAAAAGCTTATTGCTCATTTAAATATTCAGGTAATGAATTTTATGATTATTTCACTGAGTATATGAAATTGTGTTTATAATGGTCTAAGGGTTTGTGAAAGTGACAGAGTTGTTCACTGAGGGATTGTTTACACTGGGAAAAACTTGATAGAGCCAGAGTACCAGGAATAGGGTGCAGCTGTTGAAAAATCTTGTTTTTAAAGAATATTTAATGAGGAAGGACTATATACACTATAATGTTAATATTTAAAAGAAGAGAATAAACTGTAGACACAATGTGATTTTCAATTTGCCTTTAAAAAATGTATTTATGAACTCAGAGAGAGAAAACACTGGAAGAGAATACACCAAAATATATTAACAAAGTTTATCTTTGTGTGATGGGACATTCTTCTCTATGATTTTCTTTATTTTCAAAAATTTTGTGACTGTATATTTTATAATGTAAAAAAGAGAATTTTTAAAAATAAATATAAAAATTAAACATGTAATTTTTAACTACCTCTGTAATGGATTCTTTTGCAATGCCTTTGACCTAAGAGTGAAAGAACAGGAGAGTTCCATAAAGCATGACACGTGACCTTCAGAAATTTAGACATGTCCGTGCTGCCTGGACTGCAGCCAGAATAGCGTCAGTCACAGATACCAGCAGAAGCTCTAGAGCGCTGCTGTCTAATGCAAATGTGAGAGAAGCTACATATGCGCTTTAACATTCTTTAGTCGCTGGATTAAAAAAGTAAAAAGAAACAGGTGGAATTAATTCTAATAATGTATTTACCTCAAAATATCCAAAATATTATTTCAATATGTAATTAATGTTATAAAATGTCATTGAAATATTTTACATTCTTTTTTCTTTTTTGGTTTTTTGTACTAAGTCTTTGAAATCCTGTGTATATTTTACATTTATAGCACATCTCAGTTTGGACTAGCCACATGCACGTTCAGTAGCCACATGTGGATGCGAGTGGCCCCTACATTGGACAGCACAGTCTAGAGTAATATTATCATCATAGTCGTATTCTTGTCATGTTTTTAGAACTCTGTGTTGGGAAAAAGTTCACACAAGTTTCCTGTCCTTCTCTGCTTGAAAATTGAAAGCCAATGGCTATGTATTCTTATTAAACCACATTATCAGTTTTGCAAATTAAACAATATAAGTTTGCAAATGTAAAATAGCTGTGGTTTTAATTTTCAGTATTAAAAAAATACAGTATTATGAAATATTATTTTGAAAGTTCAGTATTTAGGATAATTTCCCAATTCATATACCTTCTGTACTACAAATTCAATTTAGGTTGACTTTCTTCAGCAAGCTAATAAAGACCTGGAGAAGCATATACAAGAGCTTATGGAAACCAAGGAAACAGTAACAACTGAAGTTGTTAATTTAAGTAACAAAAATGAAAAACTCTGCCAAGAATTAACTGAAATAGACCAGTTAGCACAGCAGTTGGAAAGACATAAAGAAGAAGTACTTGAGACTGCTGATAAAGAACTTGAGGAAGCAAAGGTATGTCTAGCTTGCGGGCAGCTTCATTAATCCTCCTGGATCAGAGTGAACCTGAGCCCTTTTGATATCCAGTTTGAGTCTTTTGGTTGGTTGGTTTTGTGACTCAAGGTTGTCTAACGTGTTGTTTATGCCCTGTAAATGCTTGCACTTGTCTGAGTTGTTTGGTTGTCTTTCTGAAGCACACCTCTTCTTAGGATAGTTCTCCAGCCTCTGTCCTATTTTCTTTTGAGATTTTTCTCTCTGTCCTTTTATCTCTGCATTGGGAGCAATCTTCAGAAGTTTCTCCTCTATGTCACTTTGTGCTCATGAACCCTTTAAAGGTACCTTTTGAAACCGCATATGTCCTTGCACATTTTCCACTTGATAGCTAACATTTTTCATCTTTAATTTTAAATAGACACAAGGGATTTAATTTTTAGTTTATTTTAAATATTGATCTCTTAAAACTGTCACATCGTTCTTTTAGATATAGCCGGTGGAATCCAAGTGACCCTTTCTTCTTGAAATTCTCACAAAATTTTATCCTATTTTAACATATTTTATGCTTGAATATTTTTTTATGATCACTCTGTCAAACGTTCTGCAATAAAAAAATACGTGAATTGAAATTTTTTATTTTAAAAAATGTCCTGTGACAATAAGGTTCAAAGTGATAACATTTTCCTCTGAATAGTGTTACTATTAGAATTATTAGCAATCAGTGGATCAAAGTGGTAAATATTGTACAAATGTTGATAAATACTTATTAAATAAAAATTAAATTCTATTGGAAATACATCTCTTAGTGAGATATAATGGCAGAAAATAGTGTCTTAATTAAAGGCTTCAGCCAGCCGTAACATTTCAGATTATCCTTTTGTCTGGTGCTTCAAAAGTTTTTTATATCTCGGGGTAGTGTGCTATTAGATGCATGCCTTTCTTTTGAAAAGTGGAAGAAAGACAGCTGTGAAAGGGAAGGTGGGGAAGGAGAATTCACATGATACCTAGACCACAAGCCGCATCTCAGATAATTTTTAAGAAAGATTATATGTGCAAATTAAGAATGCAGCTATTAATTCCTTAAAGCTATGTATATACGGGAGTTTTACATAATGCTTGGAAAATCTTCATCTTATCCCGGGAATGGGTGTAACCTAGTTTGAGAACCACTACTCTACATCACTGAATTAATTTTATACGGTTTCATTTCTACTAGTTAGTGGAATTGAAGGAAACTACCTCAACATAATAAAGGCCGTATGTGAAAAGCCCACAGCTAACAGTATACTCATTGGTGAAAGACTGAAAGCTTTTCCTCTAAGATCAGGAACAAGGCAAGGTTGCCCCTTCTCACCATTTCTATTCAACATAGTACTGGAAGTCCTAGCAAGAGCAATTAGGTAAGAAAAAGAAATAAAACACATACAAATAGGAAAGAAAGAAGTAAAATTATGTTTCCAGATGACATGATCTTATATGTAGAAAATCCTAAAGATTCCACAAAAAATTAGAACTAATAAGCAAATTCAGCAAAGTTGCAGGATACAAAATCAATGCACAAAAATCGGGTTCATTTCTATATGCTAATAATTAACACTCCAAAAAGAAAATTAAGAAAATAATCCCATTGACAGTAGCATCAAAAGAATAAAATATTTAGGAATAAACTTAACCAGGGAGGCAAAAGACTTATACACTGAAAATTATAAAACATTGCTGAAAGAAATTAAAGAAGAGAAATAAATGGAAAGACATCCTGCGTTCATGGATTGGAAGACGTAACGTTGTTTCTGTGTCCATACTGCCCAGAGCAATCTACAGATTGAGTGCAATCCCTGTCCAAATCCCCGTGGCATTTTTAGCAGCAATAGAAAAAAAATCCTAAAATTCATATGGAATCTTAAGGACCTGGAATAGGCAAAACAATCTTGAAAAAGAATGTAATTAGTGCAGTTTTAATTTCGCTTTTGTGACTCTAGTTTCACTGCAACCCTCCTGTATGTCATCCTTCTCCTTTTCCACCTCCTTTTGCATCTTCTATGCCCATGCACACAACATGTTAACACGGCTTCGCGTGCCCCATTGGCAGTCTCAGGAATGATAACTTGGCTCAAAAAAAGAGTTCTATTAGCTTGTATTTTAATCTTGGCATTCACTCTCAGTTGCAGTCTAGAGGATCCAGACTGGTAGTCACAGATGGGGAGAGAGCAGATAGGATAGAAAATGACAGTGCCATGACATGAATCCTGAAAATCAAGGCTAAAGGAAAGTCCTGCAAGTATAAAGAGATTTTCAAGGGCTCTCTTGTTCCAGATGTTACAAATAGATCTCTGTGGGCATTCAGGATGCCAAGAAATTAAAGAGAAGCCTCAGCTTTGCCTCCTCTTCGTTGAAATTGAGGCTTAGGGCTAGAGCCTCAGATCTCACTGGTGAGAGGGAACGTGAACTACTCAAAAAAGGACTTGGTCTTATTTGCAGTGTGTCTTAGTGACAAGTTTTCTTGACTTTTAGGTGTTTACCTAATAAGCTTTTTATTCCTAGAAAGAGATTAAAAGAAAACTCTCTGAAATGCGGAATCTTGAAGAAACAATGGCAAAACTTCAGCTGGTGAGTAGATGTCATATTAAAGTGCCAGAGTTTTTGGTAAGAAAATTTTTATTCTTTAACATATATTTCTTAAATTGAGATATAATTTACATATCATAATACTGACTCTTTTAAGTGTACCGTTTATTGGCTTTAGTTAGTATACAGTCGGCCCTCGGTATCTGCAGGGAATTGGTTCCAGGACCCTCACACCTACCAAAATCCACAGATGCTCGAGTCCCTTACAAAACAGCTAGTATTTGCACATAACGTACACACATTCTCCCGTTACTTTAAATCATCTCTAGGTTACTTATAATACCTAATATAGTGTAAATGCTGTGTAAATATTTGTTGTACTATATTGTTTGTTTGGGAAATAACGACAAGAAAAAAAGGTCTGTACACATTCAGTACAAATGCAACCATCGTAAGCCTTTCTATCCACAGTTGGTTGAATCCACGCATGCATAGGGGCAACTGTAGTCACAAAGTCATGCAGCCATCACTGTGTGCTGTCTAATCCCAGAACATGTTCATCACTCCAAAAAGAAACCTCATACCCATTAGTCACTCCCCATTTTCCTCTGCTCAGCCCCTGACAACCACTAACCTGCTTTCTGTTTCTATAGGTTTGCCTATTCTGGACATTATATACACGTGGAATTATACAATATGTGGCCTTTTGTGACTGGCTTCTTTCCCTTAGCACAGTGTTTTCAAGATTCATGCATGTTGTAGCATATATCAGTACTTCCTTTTTATGGCTGAATAGTATTCTAGTGTATGGGTATATTTAGTTTCATTTATATTTTTATAATTCTTTAATCTCATTTATAGTAGATGATAATTTAAGTTCAAATTTGGAAAACCTGTTATGAATTTTATATTCTTTTAACTACTTCGTGACTTGTCAGTTTACTAATATTAAAACTAGAAATTGATAATTACTTGATAAAATTGACTGTTATTAAAAGGACTCAGTCCTCTTTTAATAGATTTGTTTGGTGGTGCCGTCCATTTTCCTAGTCGTATTGTTTGTTCTGGTAGTTTTCAAATGAGAAAAATAGTAATCATCCCAGCATATGCCTAGGTATGGCATACAGTCCTGTAGTCTAGAACTGGTAGAATGCTTGCTTGCTGGTAAAAACTCCTGGGTGGCCTGTTAATTTGGATGAGTTTCTGCTAAGATCAGAAACAATGACTAAGACTAATTTCCAAGTTTTCTCATTATGTATACTCTTTATGCAGTCCAACTGCAGTGTTCTGGTGGCATAAGGCAAATTGAAAAACAAAGCCATTGTGATAGGCTGGCACACAGGTGACAGCCTATCACAGTGGCTTCCTGTTTCATTCAACTGCTTTAGCAGGTATTGAGTACAATTCAATTTTGAATAATGGAATTAGCTAACCTTGCTAAATGTTGTCCACTCTTGAGTCTCATAGATATTGTAAAATTCTCCCAGGTCAATAAATGTAAAGTAGAGGGGACAGCCCAGTGGCGTAGTGGTTGAGTTTATACACTCTGCTTTGGTGGCCTGGGGTTCACAGGTTTAGATCCCAAGCACAGACCTAGCACCACTCATCAAGCCATGCTGTGGAGGCGTCCCACATATAACATAGAGGAAGATCAGCCACACTGTTAGCTCAGTGACAGTATTCGTCAAGCAAAAAGAGGAAGATTGGCAACAGATGTTAGCTCAGGGCCGCTCTTCCACACACACACACAAAGTAAAGTAGATGTTTTCACCACAGCGTAAACTTCCTGAGGGCTGGGGTTTTTGGTGTTTGTTTACTGCTGTTTGTATGCACATCATAAACAAGTTGATGTGGTTCATAATGCTTGTGTCAGAACTGTGACCAGGTTTCAGTAGTATTGGCTAACAGTAAGATGCTGCTGTAGTTACTTTCTGGCCTTTCTTATTTTTTTATTAATGCTATATTTTATGTATTTTTAAGATAGATACTAATTGGTATTAATAGCCAACACTCATAAGCACTTGCCATGTGCTGGACACTGTGTGGAGTACTTCCCGTCCATAGATTCATCCTCACAGTGAATCCTCCGTGTCCAGGTACTAGTCTTAACTGCATTGTGCAGATGAGGCTTAGAAAGTAACCACCATGGTTATGGATAGACACCTATGGTCGTCTTAGAGCACTGTGTCTTACTACTGCCCTCCTTTAAACATAAAAAAGCTTTAAATTATGTTATTGCACAAGTACATATTAATTTTTTTTTAAGTTTGGCACCAAAGCTAACATCTGTTGCCAATCTTTTTTTTTTAAATTCTTCTCCCAAAGCCCCCCCAGTACATAGTTGTATATTCTAGCTGTAGATTCTTCCGCTTGTACTATGTGGGATGCTGCCTCAGCATGGCCTGAGGAGCGGTGCCATGTCCGCGCCCAGGATCTGCACCAGCAAAACCCCAGGCTGCTGAAGCAGAATGTGCAAACCCAACCACTCGGCCATGGGGCTGGCCCCAGGACATATTAATTTTTAAAAAATAGGACAATATGCTGAACAAATTAAAGGAAAATCTAATAATTCTACTCAGGAGCACTGTTGACATTTGGATTTTGTTGTTCTTTTAGCCACAATTGATAATTAACTTTAATTGAAACCATATTTGACAAATTAAAAGAGTATGTGTATGTGAATTACTCTTAAGTAAATATGCTTACAAAATATCTAAGTGCTATAATATTTTATAAAGTGTTAGAAATCTTATAGTATTAAAATTTGCAGGAATTAAACTTATGCCATAAAGAAAAGGAGAGACTGAATGATGAACTCCTTATAAAATCAGACCTGGAAACTGTTGTTCATCAGCTTGAACAAGAAAAGCAACGACTTTCCAAAAAAATTGAAAGTTTTGCAGTTACAGGTAAAATGTCGATAACTTAAAAATTGATTATCATCTCTTGATGTGTTTTTTTGGTAGATAATCTTTCATTCATTCATTCAATAAATATTTATTGCATGCCTGCTATATACCAGAATCCATATGAGGCACTGTAGATACAGTAGAAAAGGTCTCTCCCTCAAGGACCTTACAGAATTCTTTTATATTTTAGCTAGTTGGTAGAGGGAACCCTGCTTGAGTATTTTTCAGTTGAAGTACATCCCTTCTTTGAGGCAGACTGATAATAGACTTAATTATGACTAAGAGGAACCATTCTGAAATAGTGAAAAATTGAAGTACAGAATCTTTTTAAGGAAATGCAGTTGTGTCACCTGAAAGTACACACACACACACACACACACACACACACACACACACACAGTTGAAATAGGCTTTCTGCCAGGTGCCAGGTACCAGTCCTAAATGAGTTGGTTTGAGGTACAAACTAGTAACGTATAAATGAAGAAGTTAATTTTAGATGATGGGAGGTATTAAAATGGAGGGATGTGATAGAGATCAATCAGTTGAAGGGCTCGATGACAGGACAGCAGTCATATGAAGATCTAGTTGCAGAGTTTTCCAGGCAGAGGGAATGGCAAGTACAGAAGCCTGGTGCTGTCGAACTCCATGTATCTTAGGAAATAGAAGAAAGTCAGTGTGCCATTTTAAGAAGATGCTATATCCTAGGTTCTTCAGCATCCCATGTGGATAATCTGTTTGAGCCCTTCTCTACTTACTAGCTATATGACTTGAGCACGTTTCCTCACCTCTCCATGCCTCAGGTTCCCTATATGTGGGGTTAATGATGGCACCTAACCCAAAAGGTTGTTGTGAGGATTAAATAGGTTACTGTATTAAAGTGCTTAGACCTATGTATAAAAGTTTGCAATTTACTTCCTTTCATAGCTAGCTAGGGCCTGTCATTTCAGCATAATCTTTCAGATATCTGAAACTCCCTTGTTTCTCTTGTTTCGAATGCAACCCCCTGCCGAAAACCCAGGCATGGATCAACCAAAACATTTACCTTCTACACATTTGCACACGAGCAGCAAAGTACCACTTGTGTGTGTCCCCGACACATTGATGGTGCACTGTAAGTTGGATGGTCTCGAACCTCAGCAGCACCCTTATGATCTCTGGAAATCTTACTCCATATTTCTTACTGCTTAATGTCCCGCTCTCTACAGGGAATATTTCCAGTGTTTTCCATGCTCAGTAGACTTGTGACTCTCATTCCACTCGCCATTCTAAGCGGATGATTTTACCTCTAGTTTCCCTAAGAGATTAGAAGCCATCAGAGGCGTTCTGTCAGTTCCTTGCCCCGAGATCTTAAACCTGTCCATCCTTTTTTTTTTAATTGAGGTCACATTGATTTATAACATTATATAAATTTCAGGTGTACATCATTATATTTCAACTTCCATATAGACTACATTGTGTTCACCACCAAAAGTCTAGTTTCCATCTGTCACCATACAAATGTGTCCCTTTACCCCTTTCACCCGCCTCCCACTCCCTTACCCTCTGGTAATCACCAGTCTTCCTCTGGATCTATGTATTTGTTTGTTTATCTTCCACATGAGTGAAATCATATGGTATTTGTCTTTCTCTGTCTGATTTATTTCATTTGGCATAATACCCTCAAGATCCATCCATGTTGTCACAAATGGCAGAATTTCATCTTATTTTACGGCTGAGTAGCGTTCCATTGTGTGTATATATATATACACACACCATATCTTCTTTATCCATTCATCCATTGATGGGGACTTGGGTTGTTTCCAGATCTTGGCTGTTGTGAATAATGCTGCAGTGAACATAGGGGTGCATATATCTTTTTGAATTAGTGTTTTCATGTTCTTTGGATAAATACCCAGAAGTGGAATAGCTGGATCATATGGCAAATCTATTTGTAATTTTCTGAGGAATCTCTGTACTGTTTTCATAGTGGCTGCACCAGTTTAAATTCCCACCAGCAGTGTACAAGGGTTCCCTTTTCTCCACATCCTTTCCAACACTTGATATTTCTTGTTTTTTTAATAATAGCTGTTCTGATTGTTAAAGAGTTGATACCTCATTCTAGTTTTGATTTGCATTTCCCTAATAATTAGTGATGTTGAACATCTTTTCATGTGCCTGTGGTATATCTTTGGAAAAATGTCTGTTCAGATCCTCGGCCTATTTTCTAACTGACTTTTTTGTTGTTGTTGAGTTGTATGAATTCTTTATATATTTTGAATATTAACCCCTTATCAGGTATATGATTTGCAAATATTGTCTCCCAATTGGTAGGCTGTCTTTTCATTTTGTTGATGGTTTTCTTTGTTGTGCATAAGCTTTTTAGTTTGATGTAGTCCCATTTGGTTATTTTTTCTTTTGTTTCCCTTGCCTGAAGAGACATATTCAAAAGGATACTGCTGAGACTGATGTCAAAGAGCTGACTGCCTATATGTTCTTCTAGGAGTTTTACGGTTTCAAGTCTTACATTAAAGTTTAATCCATTCTTACTTGGTTTTTGTCTATGGTGTAAGATAGTGCTCTACTTTCATTCTTTTGTACGTGACTGTCCATAAACCTGCCCATCTTTATCTTCCCTTCTGTTACAATGGAGTCTTGTCCATCTTATGAAAGACCACTGCCTTTCCTCTCTAACTTCAAAAACCTTGCATATTAATTATCTCCTTTCCATAACCTTAGTCTTTGTGGTGTTTCTTCCCATTGGCATTCAAAAATGCTTACTTTTCTCCTATTTTAAATCAAAAACTTTGACCCATTTCTCTCCAGCCACTCTTTGGTCCTCTTCATAGCTTTAACATCTTGACAGGTCATTCACACTTGCTGTTTCTGCTTGATCACCCACTACCCTTTAACTTCTCAATCCACTCCAGTTGGCTTATGTCCCCACCTAACCAACAAAACTGCTCTGTTGAGGTCATCACTCACCTCCATTATGCTAAATTCAGTGGACACCTTTCATTTATTAACTTGACTTCTTAGCATTTAAACACAATTGCCCATTCCTTCCCACTCTCCTTCCTTCTTTCCTCTCTAGTCACTGCTTCTTGGGATGGAACGCCAATTCATCCTCCAGATCAGTTGCATGCTATATGTTTGATCTTGGCTGTGTTTTTCATACTTGTATCCCTAGCTAGTGCTGGGCATGTAGTAAATGCTCAACAAGTATCTGTCAAATGAATTAAAGGAGAGATGAGAGTGAATCAGAATATGTCTTGAAAATCATTTCATGCCTCAGAGTGTAATGAGTGTCAGTTAAATTAGAGTGAACTGTATGAAGTATTGTCAGTATTGGCTACTCTTGACTCATGAAAAGGTGATTTCTATGGTAAAAGTTAATAATTGTGTTTATTTGGACAAAGACATTGTTTTTATCTCTTTGTGTATGCACTGTATTGAATTCAAGCTTAATGTTAAAATCATGCTTATTATAATTGTAGATATATTTAGTGCATTTTCAGGTCTCCAGAAAGTGCCATGTGGTAATTTATTGCTTCATTTTATAATACTCGATAGTAGCCATCCTTGTGATAAAACAGAAGCAGGAGGACTTTGACTTAGTAGATTTTATTTAAACTTTTAATTTACTTTTTGCTTTTGTTTTTTTCTCCTTTCCTTCCAATATTTACCTCTTTAATATCTGGCAGTTATAAGTGATATACCAAACAGTTAATGATTTTTAATAGCTTGCGTTCTAAAAGTTATTGGTAGAATTTATTTGGCTAATTATGCATATTATATGCAAGACTGTTTTAAGATTTAATTACTTTAATTTGCAGAAAGAGAACTTACTTTGGAAGTTGAGAGAATGAGACTAGAACATGGAATAAAACGTCGAGACAAGTCACCTTCTCGTTTAGATACTTTCCTGAAAGGTATAGAAGAAGAACGAGATTTTTATAAGAAAGAGCTAGAAAGACTCCAGCGTATAATACAGCGAAGATCTTGCTCTACAAATTATTCTGCACGTGAAAAAATTCCAGGATTTAAAACGCTAGAAAAGGTAATATCTCTTTATAAGAGTAATTGATAAGACAAGAGAGTATCTTTATGAACAAACTTTTCAGGTTCATTATTGTATTAAATGTAACTTTATTCATACTTCCTTTTAAGAAGTCTTTCTTAGTTTTGTTTTTTGTTTTTTTCCTTGACCTGTGCTGTAGGAACACTGCATTAATTAGGAAAAATACTTAAAAACAAAGCATAACATACTGATTCCTGGAAATAAACGAAAGATCGAATCGTTCATTTTACGTGTCTGGGAGGGGTGCAGGGACATGTGGGCTTCCAGAAACTGGAACCAGGAATTCATGCTACTGGACATTTCTTCTCTTTCTATCCTTTACTTTCAGTGTCACCTTCATTTTCTCTATCGAAGCAGAGTGGCTTTGTCCACATGTCAGGCAACATGGCTTCATGCCATTCCCAGCCTTGGACCAGTCAGAAAGGCAGGTCGCGTACAGCCCAGTCATCTTTATGCTAACCATGCAGCAGGAGAAGGTAGAAGGTGGAAGTGGGTGCTGGGCAGATCGTCCCATTTGTCCACTACAACCACGTTTACAAGTTGGTAGTCTAAAGATGTGTATTAGGTGAAGTTAACCATGATTCATGAGAGGTTAAAATCATGAGTCTCTGTTTTAGGTCTTAATTATTTTTAATGTTTTATGAGTTTCATTTGAGTTGTTCAAATTTTTCTTTTTTTTAAGCTTTGGAGCTATAGGAGTCCTGGAGGATTATATGGCCCTAACATTATCTACACTCTAGATAAAATTATGGAAAGTTGGGAGTAAAGTCATTAAAACTCAAGACTTTTGATTTCAGACTTGGCTGAATTTACCAATTCCGTCATCTTTTTCCTGAAGATCCTGTGTCCATTGTCAAATGATTTTGAGTCGTTTTCTGATTAGTCTGTGTTTTGTTTTGTTTTGGTTTTTGCTTTTTTTTTAAAGATTTTGTTTTTCCTTTTTCTCCCAAAGCCCCCCAGTACATAGTTGTGTATTTTTAGTTGTGGGTCCTTCTAGTTGTGGCATGTGGGATGCCGCCTCGGTGTGGCTTGATGAGCGGTGCCATGCCTCTGCCCAGGATCCGAACCGGCAAAACCCTGGGTTGCCAAAGCGGAGCGCGAACTTAACCACTCAGCCATGGGGCCTGCCCCCTGAGTGGTCTGCTTTTTTAACCTCACTGGGTAATGGCTGAATTTGATTTACAGGTGTCAGTGAAAATACTATGCTATGTTATCTATTATAAGCAGAATGAATTGGTGGGGAAATACAGTGTAATTTATGTGTTACTGTGTGTTTTTGAAGTTCCATATATACTTAGGACTCAAAAAAATAAATCGCTGAATCGATCACCTTTATTGTGTAGAGAATCTTCCACAGAATGCTTGGTCAGTTAAATCAAGGATTTATTAAATAGAACTGAGTAGATAAATGTCTCAAAACTTTTAACATAAATATTTGATTCAGTTGCTTGGTGTAGATTCACAATTGAAAGACAAATGAGAGATATTGATAAAGTACTGGTAAAATTAGGAGAGACTTCTCACACCCATTCAACTTATTTACTTTCTTGAAATGCTCTAATGTTACCTGACATGGATAAAAAATTCATTTTCTAAAGTTTAGGAAGTTAAGGTGTTCAGAGCATTTTAGTGTCCCAATAACAAATTGCAGGCATGATAGGGAATAATGGGTATGTACGTGAGTGAAATGGGTGGAGGGTAAGACAGTTGTGAGTGCTGGAAACTAGAGAGTGCATCCCCACCTAAAACTGGATATTTTAAACATGTTTAGAAACACTTTGTTGGCAAACAACAAAGACCTCGCTAAAGCTAGATTTTTTGAGCTGTGAGCTTTCAACCCTCGCTTTATGGCTGACTGTTAGGCACAGCTTCTTGGGATTGCAATAACTCAGAAAAAATATTGACATTTTTAATATCAATGATCTTTGACAACAATACACCGGTTGATTCTCTGTCATCTATGTAGGGAGGGTGCCGTCCCGGTCACCTTGTACTCATCATGGTTCCACCTGTGAGTTTTGAGTATAGTATAGTGGAAAGTGCTTTGGAGTTGGAGGCCTGATGGAAGTTCAAACCCCATAAACTGACTTTATGACCTTGGACAAGTTACCTAACTTCATGGAACTCTGGTTTCCTCATTTGCAAAGTGGGGAAAGTAACCACAACCTCTTGTGAAGATTATATGAGATAATTTGCATGAGGGTTCACTGTAATACCTAGTTCCTAGTAAATCTTTCATTTCCTTATTATTTGCTGGTTCAAAGCACATCAGGTCTAGGTAAAAAGTTAGGTTCAGTCAACAGATATATACTGAATGCTTGCTATGAGTGAGGCACTGAGGATACGAGATAAAGAAGACATAGTTCCTATCCTCATAGCCTTCAGCATTGTGCATGTGTGTGCATGAGCTCGTGTGTGTGTGTGTGTGTGTGTGTTGGGAACACTGGATGGGTAAAAGGGAGTTATTAACAATTATATATTAACGCAAATGTAAATATCTACATACAAGATATATTGAGAAAAGAGCTAGGGTTCCTACTTAAGAAGGCCAGTCAGTAAGTGTTAGGGAATTCCTACATTTTACCAGGTACCATGCCAGGCACTGAAGATGGGGTGAATAAGACGAGATGCTACCGTGTCCCTCACAGAGCTTACAGTTCAGTGGTAAAGATGTACATCAAACACATAATCATGTAAATAACTTGGTAATCTCATTTATAATGAGTGTTAATGAAGAAAGAATACAGGAAAGATTCAGAATGCTATGAGGGTGTATAGAGGGAGATCTAAATTAGATCAGAGAATCTGAAAGGACTCCTTGGAGAAGTAACATTTAAGCTGAGACCTAGACAGTAATGAAAATAGACTGTCAAATCTTTATTCATTGAGCTCTCCTTTGTTATATTTATCCAGACCACCCCCTTTCTGTAAGATATTTTTATTTAGATATAGTTTATATGTTCTTTTATAGTTATTTAAGCCTTAAGTCCTCAAACTCTAATCTGCTTTTGTCCTGTAAAAAAAATTTTTTAACCTTTTTTTTCTTTTTAAGGAAGATTAGCCCTGAGCTAACTAATGCCAATCCTCCTCTTTTTGCTGAGGAAGCCTGGCCCTGAGCTAACATCTGTGCCCATCTTCCTCTACTTTATATGTGGGACGCCTGCCACAACATGGCGTGCCAAGCGGTGCCATGTCCACACCTAGGATCCGAACCAGTGAACCCTGGGCTGCCGAGAAGTGGAATGTGCGAACTTAACTGCTGGGCCACCGGCCCGGCCCCCATGTCCTGTAAAACATTTTGTCCTTAGCTAATCTCATCCATTATGCCTTGGTTTTGTCTGTTTAACCAAGAGGATAATTTATTTCCAAATGGCAGTCGAGGGGTACCTCACAGATGTCTACCAGTTACCAAGTCTACACTGGACTTGGTGTGTGCACAGTGGATAATGAATAACATGGATCAAGATGCTTTCCAACATACCAAATTATCAGATTATTCCTACCCGGAGTTTCTGCATTTATGCTTTAAGAGTTAATTAACTTATGATAGTTCCCAAGTCTACATTTATCATCTTTATTTTCCATAACAGCTGTGAAAATAGTGGATCTTTTGAACTGTATTGGACTAACAGGCATACTCTTGTTTTAGAAATGTTGGAAGGAGTTGCTTAGTCAGTGAACATCCTTCATGTACACTGCATGGTAGAAACATTTGTATTTATCTGATTGCAAAAATAGATGTCACATAGGTTTGAAACTGGGATAATTGGGGATTGGTGTGCCTGGAAAATTGATCTTAGATTCAGTCACAGAAAACACTGAGGAATGTGCTAAGCTATTACAGTTACTTGCACTCGGTGAGCAGGCACACGCATACCTTCCTAGTCTCACCTGGAGAGGGTTAAAAACTAGTGGTTCCCAAAATGAGTGTACATCATCATCATCTGGAGGGTTTGATAAACCTTTTGGGCCCTGTTCCCAAAGTTTCTGATTGGATAGGTCTAGGGTGGGCCTAAAAGCGTGAATGTTTAACAAGTTCCTAGATGTTGCTGATGCTTCTGGTCTGGGGATTACACTTTAGTTACCCCTGGTATGAACAACCCCAGGAGAGTGACAGTTAAAGCATCTGATGGGATCTGACCAAGTATTATCATTGGCAGCTGGGTCCCTTCCTGGGAACTTGAAGGCCAGGAAATTTGCCCCCGTACGGCCAGCACACTCATCTCATGCTCTCATTATATGTTAAAAACTGTGTTTCTTAATTACATGAAAGCAACTTGTGTTCTTTTTGTTAGCATCTTTCAGTCAGTCTCATTGCCAGCAGCCTTGTGACAACCATGTGGTGATAATTATAACAAATGATAACTTCTGTTTTATGTTTCAGGGTGATTACAATTCAGAAATTCATGTGATCACAAGAGAAAGAGATGAACTTCAACGTATGCTGGAAAGATTTGAAAAATATATGGAGGATATACAATCCAATGTTAAATTATTGACAGCAGAAAGAGATAAACTAAGTGTCTTATATAAAGAGGTAAGAAATAGATTATAATTGAGCCAACAGATTATATAGAACCAGTAAATTATAATGGAGCCAGTATATATCCTTTACACTGCTGTAATTTATGGACCTTGTGATGCTCCTTTATAATTAGAATTATAAGTAGTAGTTTCTACTATCATCCTGTTCCCAAAGCAGAGATTTCTATTATTTTTTCATATTTCTTCTTCCTCTTTTCTAGCCTGTCTATGTGTCAGATCAGTTAGAGATTATCTCCTACTTCTAAAACACTTGGAACAGGTCTTAGCCTGACTCTGAGCTGAGTTTATCCTTGGGATTCAGACATGTTGGGATATGTCTGTCAGATGGCGGGTAGCACCCACTATTTGGATATATTGGATTTTAAGGACTTAGCTCCCAGGGAGAAAACTCTAGGGAAGAGGGAATCAATAGAGCTGGGCCCAGTTACACAGCCTCAGTTGTCAGAGGGTAAGGTGAGTGAGCAAAGCATGATGTCTAAATTTGTTCCATACCAATCTCCCATGAAATCCTACTGCTACTTTGAGAGGGAGAGAAGGACGTGCAAGCTAAAAGGTCAAGTTGAAAAAGCTGTTTTCACTTTTAGAGCTTTTTTGGGATTCTGCAGTACAAATTGATCCACATCTGGGCTTTCCCCACTGTTGGCTTAGATTTCAGCTTTCTTGGGTCTGGTTAGTTCATTACTAGTTGTCCATCTGCTATCTGATTTCCAAAATTTTGTGACTGGCACTTCCCCCATGTTCTTGTCTTTTTGGGTTTTTTATTATTATTATTTTAATCCTTTTAGTTTCATTTTGTGGGTATTTGGGAAGACAGCAAAGGTAACATGGGTTTAGTTTGCCTTTTTTTTTTTAACTGGGAGCATATCCAAAGTGTTTTTTATTTATATCTTTTAATTCTTTAAGGCTCAGGAAGAATTATCTGCTCTAAGACAAAAATCTACCCAAACCACAGTCCCCCATAATATTGTTAGTCTCATGGAAAAGGAAAAAGAACTTGCATTTTCTGACTTAAGAAGGATTACGGCAGAAAAGGAAGCTTTAAAAGAAAAGTTAAAAGTGAGTAACAAGATTGACTTATTTTTGAAAGGTAATTATTGAGAAAAAGGGAAATCTTTACATGTGTTTTCCTGTGAAGTAACTATTTAGAATGTACAACTAGATCAGGGGTTGACAAACAACAACACATGAGCCAAATCCAGACTACTGGGTTTTGAATGGCCTGTGTTCTAGGAGTGGTTTTTACATTTTCAAATTATTAGAAAAAATATCAAAAGAAGAATATTTCGTAACACATGAAAATTATGAAATTCAAATTTTATTATTGGTAAATGTTATTGGAATACTACACTCATTCATTTTTGTATTCTGTGTGGCTTCTTTGTGTGTGTGTGTGTGTGTGTGTGAGAGAGAGAGAGAGAGAGAGGAAGATTGTCCCTGAGCTAATATCTGTGCCAGTCTTCCTCTGTTTTGTATATGGGATGCCTCCACAGCATGGCTTGATGAGTGGTGTGTTGGTCAGTGCCCAAGATCCGAACCTGCAAACCCTGGGCCGCCAAAGAAGAGTTCACGAACTTCACCACTGTGCCACCAGGCTGGCCCTTGTGTGGCTTCTTTTGTGCTGCAATGACAGAGTTGAGTAGTTGCAAGAGACACTGTATGCCCCACAAAGCCTAAAATATTTATTATCTGGTAGAAAATAACCAGTCTCTAATCTCAATAGGAAATTCCTCGTGTGGAGGGAAATTTATCTTTTTTTTATAAAACAGCCTTATTGAGATATTCACATACCATACAGTTCACCTATTTAAAGTGTACGATTCAGTGGTTTTTAGTATATTCACAGACTTGTTCAACCATCACCACAGTCAATTTTAGAGCATTTTCATTATCTCAAAAAGAAACCCTGTACCCATTAACAGCCACCGTCCATTTCCCTCCAGCCGCCTCAGTTCTAGGCAGCCACTGCTCTACTTTCTGTCTATGGATTTGCCTATTCTGAACATTTCGTATAAATTGAATCATTCACTATGTGGATTTTTGGGTTTGTTTTTTTGTTTGTTTGTTTTTGCTGAGGAAGATTCACCCTGAGCTAACACACGTGCCAGTCTTCCTCTATTTTTTAGTATGTGGGCCACCAGCACAGCATTGCCACTAACAGAGCAGTGTAGGTCTGCACACAGGAACCACACCCAAGCCGCCAAAGCAGAGTGTGCTGAATTTAACCACTAGGCCACCAGGACTGACCCAGTATGTGGGTTTTGTATCTGGCGTCTCTCACTTAGTGTAATGTTTTCAAGGTTTGTCCATGTTGTAGTACGTATCAATACTTCATTCTTTTTTATTGTGGGATGATATTCCATTGTATGGATAGACAACATTTATCGTTTGGGTAGTTTCCACTTTTTGGCTGTTATGAATGATGGTGATATGAACATTCACGTACAACTTTTTGTGTGGATGTATGTTTTCATTTCTCTTGAGCATATACCTAGGTTCATATGACAACTGTATTTAACCATTTGAGCAACTACCAGGCTGCTTTCCACAGTTGCTGTACCATTTATATTCATACCAACAGTTCCAGTTTCTCCACATCCTCACCAACACTTGTTATTATCTGTCTTTTTTATTACTGTCATGCTGGTGGGTGTGAAGTAGTATTTATTGTGGTTTTGATTTGCATTTCCCTGCTGGTTAATGATGTTGAGCATCTTTTCATGTGCCTATTTGGCCATTTGTATATCTTCTTTGGAGAAATGTCTATTCAGATCCTTTGCCCATTTTTAAATTGAGTTATTTGTCTCATTATTGCTGAGTTGTAAGAGTATATATTCTTGATACAAGCCCCTGATCAGATATATGATTTGCAAATTCTTTGTCCCATTCTGTGGGTTGTCTTTTCATTTTCTTTATGGTGTCCTTTGAAGCACAAAAGTTTTTAATTTTTGTGAAGTCTAATTTACCTGTTTTTTCTTTTTTTTGCTTGTGTTTTTGGTGTCTTATCTAGGGGTGGTATTTTATATTTCCTTTTATAATCTCCAAAAAAATATATGTTAATATATATAAAGCAGTTAACAGTGCTCAGCAAATTATAAGAACTCAATATTGACTATTGTTACTATTATGGAGTCCATAGTTTATTTCCAATAAATGGTATTGAATTAATGCTTATAAATTAGTAGCTAAAATTAGGAATAAGAACATTTAAGCATTATGTGGGTAGTCTTTATGTCATAAAATTTTCACTTAAAATTCTACCCCAGCAGAATACCTTTTTTTTTTTTTTTTGCAGGAGAAGATTTATCCTTAGCTAACATCTGTTGCCAATCTTCCTCCTTTTTCTCCCACCCCAACCCCCAAAGCCCCAGTACGTAGTTGTGTATAGTTCTTCTGGTTCTTCTGTGTGAGCTGCCACCACACCGTGGCTACTGACAGACAAGTGGTGTGGTTCTGCGCCCGGGAACTGAACCCAGGCTGCTGAAGCAGAGCGTGCCAAAGTTTAACCACTAGGCCACCAGGGCTGGCTCCTAACAGAATACTTTTAATTGGGACCTTTTGGAATACTGCCTTCCAGAAAGTATTTTCTTATAAAAATAAGTGTTAAAATTACTAAATGGAAAACTTCTGTGCAATATGGCAGCTTTTAGCACAAGATTCATCCTTTTCCATATCTCTTGAAAGGACTGAGGAATGTAAAAATAGGATAAAAAATGCAGTAGTGCTGAAAACTCAGGAAAAGTGACATTCATATTACCAGAATCTTTCTGGATTGTAGGAGCTAGGATTTATGAGTTTACAATAGATTTTTTACTTAAAAGCTGAAGTGATCATCTCAATCCTTAAGCCTCCTCCAGTAGTTTCCTGTTATTCCACTTTCTACCCGATTGTCAAACCCAGGCGTTGTCACTGACTCCTGTCTCCCTGAAAGCTCGAATCTCTCAATTAATCACCAAGTCCTGTTGATACTACCTCTTGAATAATACTTAATATTTATTAAGCTCTTTCCATGTGGGAGGCTCTGTTCTAAGTGCTTTTTACATGGGCTGTCTCAGTAAATCTTCACAGTTGCCTTTTCGGATAGGTAATGCTTACAGATGTGGTCTCTGAGTTACAGTGAGTTTCAACAGTTTGCTCAAGATCACCTGGCTGTGCTGTCACAGAGAGTCCGGCCCCTGAGCTCATGTTGTTTTCTCTTGAATCTGTCTACTACTTTCCATTCCCCTGCTACCATCCCGTTCTGGCCATTGTTCCCTCTCAAGTGCATTAGTGTATTAGTGGCCCTTCAAGTCTGTAGTTCACACTGAAGTCAGAGCCGTCTTTCAAAGATATGAATCCGATCACATCATTTCCTATTTAAAATCTATAGCTGCTTTCAAGGACTTCAGTGATTGTCCCTTGCCTCCTTCAGGGTCTAGTTTCTTTCCCCACACTCATCTCCCCCTGTTCCTCACCCCTCATTTTCTCGTCTCTAGGCTTAATTGATTTTTTCTTGCTCCCAGCTTTCTACACAGGCTATTGAAAAATCCTTCACCCCTTCTCATCCCCCTGCCCAGCTAATTCTCTTCATCCTTTACAGCCAGGTTAAACCTCATGTCCTCAGACAGGAAATGAACCCTAAACTCTAGTTTCCCTTTTGATATGGTGCCGTAAAGTTCATATTCCTAGCAGAGTATTCATGGATTTTATTTTAATATCTCGTTTAAGGTTTGTCTTTTCTGCTAGGCTGTAGTATCTGTAATGTTAGAGACTTTATCCCTTTACACACTACTGTGTTCCTAACACCTTCCTTGGTGCTTGGTATATAGCTTGTACTCAATACTGGTTGAAGGATTTAATAAATGAAAACATGCGTACAGTACACTGACCCTTCGAACCAAATGTATAATCCAGACATCAGATATCTTTATTTATTTCTTTTTAATGAATAACGTAGATGGAAGTATGAATCTTCACTAGAAAAACTCTCAGGGAACATCAACTTACATCGCTTGTCCTGGACCAGCATCAGCAGGAGTTGGGAAAGATAATATAACCAAAAAAATAGCACTGTTATTAAGAGCACTTGTGGCAGTACTGTTGACCAGCCCGTTCTTGAAACTCTGGTCTCTTTTACCGCCCTGTAGTATTGTTTCCTGTGTCTTTCTGATCTCATCCTTTCCCCGTTTACACTCTGTCCCTCTCACATCTCTTCTCATGAGGGCATACTCCTGAGCTTGCTTAACCTGCCATTCCCCTTTTATAGTTGTGCTAATGGATTGATCCGTATAAATCTCTATAAATGAATTCATACCAATCTGTGTCTTCTGTTACAGTCACATATGGAGGTAGAGCGTAAAAGATGAGAACCTGTTGTGCTTTTTATTCCAACCAAAAGCATCATTTTTGTCAAATGCCTAATTTTCTTTCTAAAACATTTCTATGTCATAAAAAGACAAATAGAGTAGTACAGTAGACTTGCGTTGGTTACTTTGGTAATTTTGTTTTATTATCTGAAATGAGTGAACGTCTTCTATAAAATTCTCTTTCAGAATCTCCAGGAAATGAATCTTTTTGGAGCATCAGAATTAGAGAAAACTATTCAACATTTGACATGTGTTAATCACCAGGTAATTTACCAAATTGGATGTGGGATATAATTTGTTCTATGAATGACTATTTCAATTTTAGTTTTAATATGCTGTGTTTTTAAAAGTTTGAAATAGTATGCTGGAGAAGCTGTGTGACAGTGGTCAGCAGTGTGTGCTCTGAAGGCTCACTGCTTGGGTTCAGATCCATCTCTGACACCTCTTATCTGTAGGCAAGTTACTTAAACTTTCTATCCCTCAGTGTCTTTATTTATGAAATAGGAATGGTGCTCGCACTTACTTCTTAGGGTTTTTGTGAAGATTAAGTGAGTTAATATGGGTCAAGAACTTAGAAGAGTCATGACACGTTGTAAGCACTCAGTAGGTGTTAGCTGTGGTTATTGTTTTGTTCTTGTTTAAAAATCATGTAATACAGACATAGAATAAAAAATGAAATTCATTTTCATTCCTTATTGCTCTCTCTAGAGATAGGATTTTTTTTTTTTTTTGAGGAAGATTGGCCCTGAGCTAACATACACCACCAATCCTCCCCTTTTTGCTGAGGTAGACTGGCCCTGAGCTAACATCCGTCCCCATCTTCCTCTACTTTATATGTGGGATGCCTGCCACAGCATGGCTTGACAAGTGGTGCATATGTCTGCACCCGGGATCTGAACCAGTGAACCCCAGGCTGCTGAAGTGGAACATGTGAATTTAACCACTGCGTCACTGGGCCAGCTCCTAGAGATAGGATTTTTAACAAATTGGTATGTGTTCTGACAGTCTTTTTTTTCTCCCTCTGTTTCATTTTGACTAGTTTCCTTTACTGTGTCTTCACTGTTTTATTGTCTACTAATACCGTTATCTGTTTCTATCAACTTTGGGTCAATTTATTTTTTTTTTTCCCCTGTGTCATCTTTTCCTACTTTTTGCATGCCAGGTAACTTTAGATTGGATATCAGACATTGTGAATTTTATCTTCTTGGTTGCTGGATAGCTTGTATTCCTCTAAATACTCCTGAGGTTTGTTTTGGGCTACAGTAAAGTCAGGTGGAAATAGCTTAGTCCTTGTAGTTTGCTTTTAAGTTTCATTAGGTGGGACCAGAGTAGCATTTAGTCTCAGATTAATTTTTTTGTTTCGCTACTGAGGTAAAGCCCTTTTGAGTACTACGTGTTGCCCCATGAATTATGAGGTTTTCAAGTGACCTGTGGGAACAGGAATTATTCCTGGCCCTGCATGAGCCCTGAGTAGTGTTCCCTCTAATTCTTTGATGGCGCTTGCCCTGGCCTTGGGCCCCCTGTACAGGTCTCTGGAGCTCTCACTCTGTGCAGCTCTCCTCCAGTGTCTGCCCTGCAGCCTCTAACTGCCTTGGCCTCCCTTGATCTCAGTCCTGTCTCCTGAACTTAGGGGAACCACCAGGCTCCACCTGGGTTCCTTTCCCTGTGCCACAGCCTGGAAACTCCTCAGGCAACCAACTGGAGCAATCCTAGGGCTCATCTCATTTGTTTCCTGTCTCTCAGGGGTCACTGTTCATCATTGCCTCATGCCCAGTGTCTTGAAACCATTGTTTTGTATGTTTTGTCCCATGTTTTAGTTATTTCAGGTAGAAGGGTCCTGTCACTCCAGCTTGCCCAGAAGCTGAAAGTGAGAATTAGTGAACTGGAAAATATATCTGAAGTACTAGAAGTCATTAGAAAAAGACTAGGTGATGGAAAGTATAAAATAATTTAAAGCCTTAGAGAATAAAGTGGGAAAATCTAACATATATTTAGTCAAAATTCTAGGAGAATATAATAGAATATGAAGGCAGTATTTGAAGAGATAATGACAATTTTCTAGGTATTATCAAAACACAGGAATCCTCTGATTCAGAATGCAAGGTGAATTTTGGTGGTATGACAAATTCCAAGCAAGATAAATAAGAGGAAAATCCATACCATTTTAATAGTGATAAATAATACAAGATACCTATGTATAAAATTTACAGGATCTTTATAGAAAATATTATACAACTTTGTTGAAAGACATTAAAGAAGACCTAAATAAGTGGAGAGAGATATCAGGTTTATAAAAAAGGTGACAGATACCATGTTTATAAAAAGAATGTAAGTTCTCCCCAAATTGAGTTATAGAGTTGATTGTAGTTACAGCTGAAATCCTAAGAAGGTGATTGTGTGTATGTGTGTGATCGAGAGAGAGAGAGAGAGAGAGAAAATTGACAATAGATTTTAACTACATGGCAGCAAGGAATTGAGAATCACGAAGAAATTTTACAGAAGAACAAGATGTGGAACTTGTCCTACCAGATGTGAAGGCTTTGGAATCAGTGATTAAGATAGGGTGGTAGTGCACAGGGACTAAGAGAGAATGAAAGAGATTAAAACCGGAATTAAGAGAGATGAAACCCAGTAGAGAGCAAACCAGAAACCCACAAATATATGGAAACTTGATAGATAAAGGGCTCAGATCAATGGGGCAAGGAAAGATTGTTCAGTAATTCTTTCTGGGATAATTGGCTATTCATATATATATATATATAAAAGAAGAATTGAATCCTACTTCAAATATACCATACTCTAAAATCAGTTCGAGGTTATTTGCAGCCTTGAATGTTCAAGAAATAACTACAGTTTTTGAAAGAAAATACGGGAGAAAAATTTTTTGATCTTGGAGAAATAATAATAGCAGTCATTTGCATAGCATTTACTATGTGTCAGGTACTTTTCTCACTATTTTATATATATTATTTTAATTCTCACGACAACCGTATGAAGTAAATGCTAGTATTCTCCTCATTTCACAGGTAAGGAAACTAGGGCACAGGGCATGCTTGCCTGAGATCACACAGGGGTCTAGCACCAGGGTGGGTGCTCCGAAACAAGACGCAAATAAGTTTATTCTTTTAAAGAAAACATGTGTCAGTGGGACCACATTGACAAGAACATCTGTGTTTATCGAATAGCCATAAATTGAAAAGACAAGCCACTAATTGAGAGAACAACTTGCTACACATTTAACCTAAAAAAAAACTTGACAGAAAACGTGAACTGACACTTCGCGGCAGAAGAAATTACAAACTGTTAATAAACATAAGAAGATCTACCTCAGTAATAGGGGAAATGCAAATTAAAACCACAGTAAAAGCATTCCATATCCATCAGGTCATCAGAAATTAACAAGTTATAACAAGTATCACTGGCGAGTATGTGTAGCTTCTGGGAGTGCAAGCTGGTACATTTTTGGAGAATAATTTGGCATTGTCTAGTAAAGGCATACCCTGTGAGCCAGCAATTCCATTTCTACATATGTACCTGGATGGAGGTCAGCAAACCCTGGCCCCGGGACCAAATCTGACCGCCAGTCTGCTTTTACAATGAAGTTTTTGTTGGAACACAGCCATGCTCACTTGTTACGCATTGCCTCTGGCTGTTTTTACGTTACAACAGAGTAGCAGAAACAGACCATAGGGCTCACAAAACCTAAAATATTTGTGCACTGGCAGAAAATGAAAAACAGTCTAGATGTCAGTTGTGAGGAAGATAGATAGATGGTGGTAATTCATACGATGGAGTGTTATAGAGCAGCGAAAATGAATGAAGAGTAGCTGCAAACATCAGCATGCGTGAATCTTACAAATGTAACATCGAAGAAAACATGCAGTGTGAGTCCACTTGTGTAGAGTTCAGAAACATGCAAACCAGAACGGTGTATTGTTTAGGGAGTGGGACAAATGTGGTACAGGAAGGAAGGAAGAAGTGAGAAGTGCAGGATTCAGGCTAGTGCTTACCGTGGGCAGGGTTGGAGGATGTGATTGGAGATTGCCCACGAGTAGTTTCAAAGGTTCACGTACTACTTTTTTAAGCCAAGTGGTGGATGCACAAATGTTCATTTTTAAAATTCTTTATACTGTACATGTACTGGTGTTTGTATAAAATGTATCTAAGGAATTCTGAAAGGTTTTTAAAACCAGTTTCCTTTCCCACCTCACTATCTCCAGAACTACTACCCACAACTCTCAACTCTTTGTCCTGGTGTGTGCTCCCTGTTTCTAAACAATGTGCTTGTGCTGCTTCGTCTTACGTTGCTGATTTAAGATTACTTAGTGAATTTCCCCTATGGTAGATGACACCTTAGCACTCCTCCTCCTTCTTCCCCCGTTACCTCAACATGGTTTTATTACGTATTTTGCTTGCTTTAGCAGTTATTGTTTATAGTATCATGACTTCTAGTGGTTTGTGGCTCAGCCAAGTGGGACAGTACTACTCTTGCCTTTTTTCTTGTAGATTTTTTTCCTGGAGTTAATAATGTTAATAATGTTTTGTTTTATTTCATTTTTTATTACTTTTTTGTTTTTCATTGAACACTTTGCTATTTTTTGTCAAGAATTCCAACGTCTCTGCCACATGTCTTTTAATATTTTTGAGTATTCAAACCTATCTGTTCTGTTTTTCGCTCCCTGAAGACCCCCTTTCTTGGGCTTTCCGTCATCTTGTTCCATTGCGGACTGTCTCTCTCCGTAGCTGTCCTCATAAGACTTTCCCTGTCCCCCTCTTCTGTGTTGAATCTCATGTTTTCTTCTTTCTGGCTCTGTTCCTTCTTTCTGGTGTAGCACCTTCTCCAGCAATTTCATGAAAAAGAATTTGTGGGAGGAAATGTTTTCTGGTACTCTACTTGTCTAAAAATGTCTATATATAGCTTTTATACTTGATTTATGATTTCGCTTAGGTATATGGAAATCTAGATTGGATAATTATTTTCACTAAAAAATTTGAATACTGTCCTCCACTGTCTTTTAACTTTGAGATGTTTGATGCTATTCTGTTCCCTCGTCCTTTGTACATGACATGTTTTTATTTCTGAAAAGCTTTGGGATTTTCTCTTTATCTCTTATTTTCAGTTTCTTGGATATTTACTATACTCTTGTATTTTTTCTATCTGGAACTTTCAGTAGTTGGTTGTAGACCTCCTGAGGTGATCTGAGGTTCTTAGTCTTTCTCCCTTATTTTGTCTTTGACTTTTCACTCTACTTTCTGGGAGATTTCTTCCTTTATCTTTGAACCCTTCTATTGATTTTTTTTTAGTTTTAGTTATATCTTTGATTTCCAAGAAAACTTTCTAGAAAGAGGTGGGAAATATCTGGGGTGTTGTGAGGGTTTCAGTATATAGACTTTCAGCCAATCTCCTTGTTGAATTCTGCTCCTGACCCCCCCACCACCACTTGGTGCCTCCATGTGTTGAGCTTCTTCAGGGTAAATTAGCTGGCTTCTCATTGCTATTCCCTGTTGTGGTCACTTTACACCAGTGGTTCTCAACCATGGGCATTTCTGCCTCCTAGGAGATGTTTGGCAGTATCTAGAGAATTTTTCATTGTCACAAGTAGGAGAAAGGTGCTTCTCATATCTAGAAGGTAGAGGCCAGGGATGCTGCTAAACATCCTGCAATGCACAATGCACAGGACAGCCCCCAGTAAAGAATTATCTTGCCTCAAATGTCAGTAGTTCCTAGGTTCAGAAACTCTGCTTTAGATTGTATTTTTCTTCTACTCTGAGTCACTTTTCCATCTTCCCTTTATCTTCTACAAATTATTGAAGTCACCTGTCCACACTTGTTTTCTTTCTTGTTCTCTATGTCCTGATGAGTGTATATATTACGTTTGTATTCCTTTACTGTCATTTTAGCACTGTTTCCAGAGGGAGGGAAAATAAAATGAGTGTGGTCAGTCTACAGTTTTAACTGGAAGACTTACGTTTGTCACTAGTATTTCTTTGTTTTGCATTTTGTATATAGATCATTATTCCATCTAGAATTTATTTTTGTATATAAATAAAATAGAAATCTAGCTATTTTTTTCCTTCAATGAGTGGCTGTCTCAACTTTTTTTTTTTTTTTTTGGTGAGGAAGATGGGCGCTGAGCTAACATCTGTTGCCAGTCTTCCTCTTTTTGCTTGAGAAAGATTGTCCTTGAGCTAACATGTGTGCCAATCTTCCTCTATGTTTTGTATGTGGGATGCTGCCACAGCATGGCTTGACAAGCAGTGTGTAGGTCCATGCCTGGGATCTGAACCCGCAAACTCTGGGCTGCCAAAGCGGAGTGCACAAACGTAGCCACTACACCACCAGGCTGGCCCCCCAACTCTATTTCTGAAAAGATCATTTTTTTCCCACTTCCCTAAAATGCTACCTTTTCTAAATTTACATCTGTGTGCATGTATTTGCTTGTCCATTTCTCTGTGAAATCCACACTTTTAATTACCGTAGCTTTCTAATTTATTTTGATATAAGACAAGTCTACCTGCATTCCTTTGCCCCCCAAATTTTTCCTGTTTTTTTTCTTACCTTTCTTTTTTCCTAAATGAATTTTAGAATGAAATCTAAGCCACCCCTTTTATTTAAAAAAGATTCTGTTAAGATTTTTGTTGCAATTTCATTGAATTTACAACTATTTCAGGAAATTTTAATACATTTCCAATATTGTGTTCCCATTCAGAAACATGGTGTGTCTTTACATTAAGTCAGATAATGTTTTATGCCCTTCAGTAAATTTTTAGTTTATAAGTCTTGCCCATTTTGTGTTTGAGTTACAGTATTTTCTGCTCTGATTTTTCTTCACTTCAGTCCTATCTACTTAACTGTTTTTTAGAAATTCCTCAAAATTTTTACCCTGCTAATGGTTTCCCTTTCTGTTTGCATTGCTATTATAGATATATTCTTTTCTTCCTTACTTCCTTTCCTTCTTTTTCTGTGTATCTTTTCTTTTATTTCCATGATAATGAGGAGGAGAGATAAATGTAAATAAATGTTTGTGCCCATTGTGACATCTAAAACCCAAAGTGTACACGTGGCTTTTAAAGTATTTTAAGTAAATCTAATTTATTTCCTTAGTTTTCTTCCAGAAATATTATTAAAGAGTGCTTAAGGAAAACAAAATTGACATATATACCTATTAATTTTTTAAATTTAAATTATAGCTTGAAAGTGAAAAATGTGAATTAAAGTCTAAAATGTTAATAATGAAAGAAACAATAGAATCATTAGAGAACAATGCACTACTCCAAGCTCAAAAACTTAGCCATGTGGCTGGTGACTCATCTCATCAGAAAACAGAGATGAACTCACTTAGGTAAGTTTATTGACAGTTTTGTTATTTCACTCCTGGGAATGAGTTTGTGGCTGTGTAAGGTTCATAACAGTGGCTGTTTGGACTAGGCCTTTGAGTGGTAATTCCCAAAGTTGGCCTTGCAGTAGAGTCACCTGGGGAACTTTTGAAAAGTATGGATTTAGGGGCTAGTCTCTGGAGGTTCTTGTTCACGGAGTGAATCTGGGTAGGTTTTGAGTATCTATTTTTTAAGACTTTCACAGATTGATATGATTGCAGGCCATTTTTTATACCTACCACCTTCAGAAATTTCACCAACACATACTTAGATCATTTGTACTCCATAGTCTAGGATTGCCGAAAGCTACAGAATTTTTTGCTACATATGTCATTGCCCTTCTCTTTCCTTTTTCAAAGAAATGTAAAATCAGAATATTCATATACAGTGTCTAAAAAGGTGATGTGTCTGAAAAATGGTAAGAAGGTCAGTGTAGAAATAAGCTGCATCTCCAGGTTGCGGTGAGTCAGGTTGTGAAGCTCTTGGTATGACAACTGAGTATGTTTGCATTTTACCTTATGAACATGGAGAACAGACAGAAATCTTTAACCAAAAGGGTGACATGAGCAGCATGTCTTTTAGGAAGTGAACTCTGCCAGAAATAAGGAAGATAGACTTGGAGTCTTGAGAGACTGATGGCAAACAGTGGGGACCATGTGTCTGGACTGAAACAGTGGCAATGAACTTGGAGAACAGAGGCCACATTTAGGAAAAATTTCTTACATAAAATCAAAAGGATTAGATGACTTACATGGAAATGAGAGAAAGACAGTACTGCAGAACATTTACCTTAGGAGAGTGGGTTGTTGGCTAGACATTGGTCAATTTAGAATACAGACTCTAGGAAACAAAAAGTCAACAAAGTTAGGTGTTTTCTGGACTAGGAAGCTGCAATAAATAAAAAGATACTGAAGGTCAGAAGAAGGGGATCACTCTTAAGAATCAGAGGAGGGGCCGGCCCCCTGGCTGAGTGGTTACGTTCGCGCACTCCGTTGTGGCGGCCCAGGGTTTCGCTGGTTCGGATCCTGGATGCAGACATGGCACTGCTTGTCGGGCCACATTGAGGCGGCATCCCACATACCACAACTAGAGGGACCTGCAACTAAGACATACAACTATGTACCGGGGGGATTTGGGGAGATAAAGCAGAAAAAAAAAGATTGACAACAGTTGTTAGCTCAGGTACCAATCTTAAAAAAAAAATAAAAAAGGAGGATTGGTGGCAGATGTTAGCTCAGGGCTAATCTTCCTCAAAAAAAAAGTGAAAAGAAGAAAAAAAGAATCAGAGGAAATATTTCTCCTAAATTACTTTTGCAGTAAAATCAAAAAAAGATTTTCAGATGTCAACAGGACACTGCATATGTGAAACTAAATCAGTCGTGAAGTAGTAACAACTTGTGATCAAAAAGGATTATAGCGATGATGATTAGAAAAAAGATTGAGAAATTAAAACTGAAAGAGTTAGTGAACAGTAGAATGGATATTTCAGAAAACTGAGTCTGAAATAGAGAACAAACTCAAGAAATTCACCTAGAATTCAGAACTCAGAATGGTGAAAAGAAATAATGAGAGAAAACACACAGATCTAATATACACAAAATTGTGAAAATACATAGTAAAATAAATGGCAGAATTGAAAATCAAAGGAATAATTAGGAGAAGAAAGGTCTCAGACAGCGTTCGTAAGGAGTCCCTGATTATCAAACAAACAATGAAATAAGACCAAGAGCTAAATGTGTCCATTTGGTTAAGGAATACTGTATTAATTAGGGACTAATACAGGGCATCTCCAATTTTTGCTCTTTTGCTGCTCTGCCTACAAGTCTTGATAAGTTAGTCTTTAGGAAGAACTAAGATGGAAGCTGCTTTTTTCCCTTTTTTTTTTTTTTTTTTTGCAAGTACTGTGTACATCCTAGGAAAGAAACCAGCCTCTCTTCTTCTAGTTCATGTCTATATGCTCCAGTGTATGGATACCATGGTATGTTGCTGTCAGCCAGAAATAGTCACCCGTTATTAGTCTGCCCTTTTCCTTTTGTGTCCCGCTGGCTGGATCTGGCATTTAATCCATTTTGCTTTTTCCTTCAGACTATAGCCACAACTCCCCTTTCCTTTCCTCGCAGGAGTCCCTTTCCAGTCTTAGAAGGCAGAGCTTTCAGTGCCCTCTCTAGGTCACCTGGCCTACAGCCCCTTTGGCGTTTTCTTTGTTGTTATACTCATACCCTTTTCTCTTGTGAGCTCAGTCTGCTACTTCCCTCACCTAGGAGTGATTCAGTCACTATGTTATAGGAAGGGATTGTGAGAATTTTTTCTCTACCTTGTATAACCTGGAGAAATTGTGTGATTCCATAGCTTTGTTTAGCTCTGACAGAAAAATCTGACTTATCTTGTCTGAGGAAGGTGTATCAGTCACATTCTCCATCTCGGTATACGTTGTTAGAACCGTGAGTTCAAACCTTCAGGTCCAAACCCAAAGCTGAACCCAGTACAAACCATAATACCAAGCTCCCTGTGGCAATAGCAGTGCTATCTAAACTGTGTGCCACTTTCTATATGGTTAATAGAGATCTTGTTACCCCTTTAATCACATGAAGTTCTCTTTCCCTTGACATGAGGACATTTAAGAAGCTGACAGACAGATGAAGCATATGTTCCTTTCCGTCTACCTGGTGGACCCATCTTCTCTTTCCCTTCCTGAGTTGGGCATTTTTCATCAAATTTCAGTGCCACCAAACAGTCTTTTCTTTATCAGCCAGTCTCTAATTATCCAAATAGAGGCTCTTTGGTCTGATTTCTTGGTGCGGCACCAGAGGACCTAATACAAAATCTTACTTTATAACCATGTGTAAAGTTAAATAAATGACTGTTGTTTTTCTTGAATTTTAGCATTTAATGAGATCTGGCGTTTTATGCCCCAAATCAAAACTCCATAATGCTATAAAGCAATTTTGCTCTACCCTGGAACGATGGTCCATTCATCCCTCAGAGCATTGCTGGCCAGCTTCTAGAGCCGGGGTCGGTCATCTTTTTCTGTAAAGGGACAGAGAGTCAATATTTTAGACTGAGGGGCATACAGTTTCTGTTGCACCTACTCAACCCCATCTTTGTAGCACAAAAGCAGCAGTAGACAACATGTAAATGAAGGAGTATAGTTGTGGTCAATACAACTTTATGCACACTGAGATTTGAACTTCATATAATTTTCAAATGTCACAAAATATTAATCTTTTGAATTTCTTTTTAATCATTTAAACATGTAAAATGTGCCAGCCCGGTGGCACAGCGATAAAGTGCGCACTTTGCACTTCGGCGGCCCAGGGTTCGCCGGTTCGGATCCCGGGTGTGGACATGGCACCACTTGGCAAGCCATGCTGTGGTAGGCGTCCCACATATAATGTAGAGGAAGATGGGCATGGATGTTAGCTCAGGGCTAATCTTCCTCAAAAAAACAAAACATGTAAAACAATTCTTAGCTCTTAGATCTTACAGAAACAGGTAGCAGGCCATAGTTTGCCAACCCCCGTTCGAGCATAGTTTCCAGCCCAGTTAGACAGCTAACTTTTCTCAACCACATAGTAAACAGCCATTATCCTCACAACCACTAGCTGTAAGGCTCTAAACGCTTAGATTCCTGCAGCTGCTAATACCCTCAGACTGTTTTCAGTTCACCTTGAGTTATTTGTATATCTTCTTGAAAACTAAAGGGTTATAACTTATCCAGGATCAAATAAATGCGTTAGCAGATTTTCCTGGAAAGGGCCCATAAACTCTAATTAGAGTTATTATGGCAATAGATATCAATTGTTACAGTAGGATTTGTCTAAGTGTATTCAGAAAACGAAATATAACTGGTCTCCTTTGAGAAGCATTTATTTGTTAAGGGGATTGAGATCCATTTTGGATAAGGAGGCTCCTAGATTCCTTAGGATGCCTAAGAACTATCTTCTGGGCATACCTAACATTTTTCTACCAAGACAGGAAGAGGAGGTAGGGCCCTGAGTGAGGACAGCTCAGCTCATGGAGCTGGCCTTGAAAGGGCCAAGGGAACTAGGACCACCAGATACAAATTATCATCCATTTGCAGAAGGGTAAAAGAAAAGCCAATCCTGATCCTTTTTCCCTGTCTGGCTCACCAACAGATGATGCTTAGTAGTAGCCATTCTCAGTTAGTGATGGGCCATAACCATCAACTCCTGGAAACATCTAAAATGAAACAGAGATACCATATCAGCCTCTCTTTCCTCTAACAGACCATTAAAATTTCAAACCTACTCCTCTTAAATGGAGCTTCAGCTTCGTTTTAGAACTTGAACACTTCTTATGAGTAAAGGACCCTTTGAGATGCTGTCTTTTTAAGCATATACTCAATCATGAAGGAAAGTAATTACTTTTGCCCCCTAAAATGAAAGCATGCATACCTGCATGTAATGTAATGTAACAGGAATTTGAGGCTCAGAGAGATGGTCCTATGCAGTCACATGGCTACTAAGTAGAGAGCTAGGACTTTGATTCTAAAGTTAAGTTTATTGCTTCACTTTGATGGAAAGTCATCACTTCTCTTTTCTATTTTTATGGCACTTTTGAAACTACAAAATTGGTCCATTTTTTCCTAACAACTTAGTTCTCAAGACTTCCTTTTCAAACACCATGACAAATAATATGGTAGTCACTCAGTTTTCTTCTCTGTGAACTGTATGCTTCAGTTCTTTCATTAAGAAGACTTTGTCTTAGGAGCAATACTTCTGTCAGAAAAGTTATATCCAAGGTCTGATATAGAATCTCTGTTGTCCCCTTCCTTGTCTGCACCAGATTATGAAAAGGTAAAGCTATTCTTAGGACTCATCGAGGTCCTCGTGTATATGTACAATCAATCAAGATGGTATCCTGCCTTCCTTTCTCAATCCTACTTTCATTAGGAATTAACCCTAGTTGTGAACTTACATGTAAGGAGATCTTTACATTTCTACTTAGGATTTCAGGCACTGCCAACTACTCAGTGTCCTTCATTAGGGACTCTGTGGGCCGTTCCATTTTTTAAAGGACTCTATAGCTTACTGGCGGACATTTCCCTTCCACGTAGAGGGATGTTGGTCTCCCTGAATTCTTCATGGAAGGCAATGTGATGTAGTAGAAAAACATTGATACCAGGTCAGACTAGCTTGGATTTGCATATTTTCTTTGCCTTAATAGCATTGTCACCTGGGACAGGTTATTAGTTATTTATTTCTATAAAATTGGGATAACAGTTCTAATTGTGGAACTGTTCTAGGAATAAATGAGCTAATGTTTATAAAGAATCAATACAATGAATGTTAGCTTTCTTCTTTCTCTACTCCCTGTAGTTAATCCCTCAGAACAATAGCTGTAGCTTTTAGGAACAGCTTGAATACAGTGAAGTCCCCTAGACCTCACGGTAATTTTATGAAATAAAATACTTGAACGTAGAGTCTTTCTCACTTGGTTGTGTTTGGTTGTGCAAGTCTAAAGAAGTCGGTCTCAACTTGACTTTCCTCCCTACCTCTGGGTCATCACTCACTTGCTATTAGAGCAGTCAGGGTAACGTCTTTTGTCTTTGAGTTGTTACGGGCTGTCAGGTTGGCTCCGACTCCTGACAGGCCACACTGTCCTGTCCTCAACAGTCCTCCTCAGCTCCTGTAGACTCAGCCTAAGGCTCTTTTATGGAGTCCGTCCATGTCATATTTGGTCTTCCTCTTTTCCTGCTGCCTTCTACTTTCTGAGCATTATCGTCTTTCCCAAAGAATCCTGCTTTCTCCTGATGTGCCCAAAGTAGGAGAGCCTCAGTTTTATCATTTTTTCCTCCAGCGATAGTTCAGGCTTAATTTGCTCTAGGACCCCCTTGTTTGTCTTTCTGGCAGCCCAGGGTACCTGTAGAGCTCTCCTCCAACACCCTATTTCAGGTGAGTCAGCTTTTTTCCTGTCAGCCTTCTTCATGTCCAGCTTTCGCACCTGTACATATAATGGGGAATACGAGGGTGTGGATGTTCTTGGCCTTAGTCTCTAATGACACTTCCTCACACTTGGTGATCTTTCCTAATTCTTTCATTGCTGTCCTCCCAAGTCTCAGTCTTCTCTTGGTTTCTTGGCTGCGGTCTCCATTTAAACTGATGACTAAACCAAGATAAACAAAATCTTTAATAATTTCAGTGTCTCCATTGTCCACATTAAAGTTGTGTAGTTCTTCTGTAGCAGTGATTTTGTCTTGATGTTCAAATGCAGTCCTGCTTTGGTACTTTCTTCTTTTACTTTCATCAGAAGTTATTTCAAATCATTGCTGCCGTCTGCCAGTAAGATGGTGTCATCTGCATATCTTAGATTGTTGATATTTCTACCAATTTTCACTCTGTCTTCATCTGAGTCTAGCTCACTTTTTCATATGACATGTTCTGTATACAGATTAAACAGATAGGAGATAAAATGCACCCTTGTCTGACACCTTTGCCTAGAGGAAGCCATCTGTCTCTCCATATTCTATCCTGACAGTGGCTTCTTGCCCACAATACAGGTTACCCATCAGGACAGTCAAGTGCTGAGGCGCGCCTGTTTCCTTCAGAGCAGCCCACAGCTTTTCATGATCCACGCAGTCAAAGGCTTTACTATAGTCTATAAAACAGACTAACCTCCTTCTGAAATTCTTTGGAGCACTCTAGTAGCCAATAGATAGTCTCAATTAGATCTCGTGTACCTCTCCCTTTTCGAAATCCAGTTTGGAAATTAGGCATTTCTTATTCCATGTAAGGTATGTCTTTCAGAATACTTCAGTATTACCAGTAAAACTTCTTCATTTCTATGGAGATGTCTCATCTTACTAGTAACTTCAGAATCCAAACCTCCTCCTCATTAGGTAGTTCAAAGCTAAGCCACCCTTGGTATTTTTTTTCCCTGTATTATCCTCAAAAGGAACCTGTGGGAGTTCCCAATAAATAGCCTGAGGTGAGAACATGTCTTTCCAGCAAGGCAGGATTAAAAGCTCCTAGGTCAGGGCTAAAAGCATTCCAAACACTCTAGATGACATGAGAGCAAATTCTTGTTACTTCTGGAACATAATCTTACCAATCAGTAAGAGATTCTTCTGAAATTGTCTTTATTTCCTCTGTACGTCCTTTCTTTTGCTCCCTGAAACCTACCTTTAGTCTTAAATCCTCACTGCACTACAGTAAATGCCTACTTGCCCTGCTTACTATGACCTCCAGTTGACTACCTACCAAAAAAGTCAGAATAGGAAGCACAATTAAAAGCTCTGGACAGCATTGTCAGGATTTATGGATAATCCTTTGAGCTGCCAAGCCATACTGTAAAAACAAGACTTTCCCTTTGGCTTCACTAATGGAAGTTGATTTTAAGAGAAAGAGAGTTGATGTTAGGAAACTGAGAAGAGCTTTAAAACTATCAGGAAGCCTCTAGAAAAAGAGTATACAATTAATTTGATTTTTATACTATATTTTTGGGAAGATGGAACCATTTTGAAGAAGAATGGTGGAGAGCAAGAAATATATAATATAATGCCATTGATTATACTGGAAGAGCTTTAAAATGAGAAGAACTTTAAATATAAGAAAAGTACTTTTTAAGATCTCTCATTTAAAAAAAATTATTTATCCCAGAGATAAAGAATACCATTTGTTTTTGTCCACTGAATCTTTAGGATAGTAAATGAGCAGCTACAGCGGTCAGTTGATGAGTATCAGCACCGACTTTCCATAAAAAGAGGTGAACTTGAATCAGCCGAAACACAAATTAAAATTCTGGAGGAAAAAATAGGTAAGTGTTTTTAAATTTTGTTTTTGCTAATCCTAATTACTTTGTCTAACAAACATTTCTTTCCATTCATAGGTAAACTACACCTTAAGATGACTTCACAGGATGAAGAGGCTCATGTAATGAAAAAGACCATTGGAGTCATTGATCAGGAAAAAGATTTTCTTCAGGAGACTGTAGATGAGAAGACAGAAAAGATTGCAAACTTGCAAGAAAACCTAGCTAATAAAGTATGTGACTGTTCAATGTTATTATTCTGCTTCTGAACAGAAAAGATTATTTTATTCTCTGTTCCAAGTATGTAGTTCTTATCACCCATGTACAAGTTGCTAAGACCCAGGGCTTTATCTTCTAATATGTTTAAGTTTCATTTTATCCCAGTAATTTGAATCTTTAAACGTTCTGTTTCTAGAATGTAATTTTATCAGGTGTGATTACAGCAAACACGAGGGAACAGTTCAGGTCCTTAGAGTGAGTAGAGACATGCCAATATGTGAAGTACGATTGAGACATGGAAATATGTTGACTTGGAGGTCTCTTTTATAGCATAATTTATATAATTGGATTTGAACTATATAAATGTGATAAATTATGTAAATTCAACTAAAGACATTTCTATATGAATGATTTAGAATCTTACATACTTGTATAATTTCTATAGGAAAAAGCTATTGCTCAGATGAAGATAACAGTCTCAGAGTATGAATCATCTATGAAGTAAGTAATCAGTGAAATGGCATCTAGCTTTTTAAGAAAGTTTCAGTGAATACTGTTTCATTTGTTTAAGTAGCAATCTGGCGATAGGAAGATTTCTTTTTTCCATTTTCCTATTTTTGCCAATGGTAGCATCGTTTTCTCAGCCTACTGCATGAAAATGTTATTCTCTGACTTTCTCCCCTCCTCTATCATCCCCATCTAAACAGTTATGTCTTATTAATTATTCTCTTACATACATACTTGCTCTTTGTCTCTATTGTAATTACCTTGTATAGGCCCTAATCATAAAAACTTAGATGACTTTGGTAATCAATCTTGAATTTATTTTACATCTAAACCTATCTTGAACACTGTTACGAAATCTTACATCTTGTGTCTAGTCTGTCTACTTCAAGACAAAGGTCACTAATTATATTTATTTTATATACCTTTACATGTTATATAATAATGGGGACTTAAATATTTGCTAGTTGAATCTCTTATGTTCTGCTCCTAATGCTTGATAGTCTTCTGTTTTTACTTGACTTTTAGAATAATAAATTTATTTTATGACTTCATTTGTACATAATGATAGGTAGAGAGCTAAAATATCTGCCTTACCTAATTAATGTATCTTGATGCAGTAGTTATAATTTCTTGTATTCTTAGTGTATAATTCAGAGTACACAGTTTTGTTTTAAATAAACTACAGTTTCCCAAAAAGCTTTCTTTATTATTTCCACATCACTCATATAACAGCCAGCTAAAGGAAACATTGATGAATCGGGACCGTGAGATCAGCAGCCTCCGGCGCCAGCTTGATGCAGCTCACAAAGAACTTGATGAAGTAGGAAGATGTAAAGAAGTGTCCTTTAAGGAAAACAGAAGATTGCAAGATGATCTGGCTACAATGGCAAGAGAAAACCAGGTATGAGCACAATGCATATACTTTAATAGTTTTGTAGTATACAGTTTTACAGTATATTCGTTTGCTAAATTTTAAAGCTCTAAATATGTTTTCTAAATTTTTATATATCAACAACATAAGAAATAATTGTGTAAGGAGAATGGTGTTTATAAGGGTATTAAAAAATGTGGTTTAGAATCCTGCTATATAATATAGCGTGTCTAAGGGGTGCAACTCTGGTCTCTTCACCATTTTGGTCTTTGTTGCAAGGAATCCCAAAGCTGGGAGCATGGTATTCTCTGTGGCAGAAATCATTACCCTACTGGGTGAGAACCTCAGCGTCACTCTCAGGGAAAAATTGCTGTGTTTTACAAACCCTTGACAGATTTTAATTATTCGTACTTACTTCCAGTGACTTAGAGATATACCTGTAAGTAAATTAATGAATATTTTAGAATGGCAAATACTAATAAGCTATTGTTTGTTTGTGCTCATTTATTAAAGGATTAACCAAGGCGACCAATGATTTTCCTATTTTAAATATTTTGTTTTAAAAAAAGTTATTTTCAGTATTATTCAGTATAAAGCATATTGTTGATGTATGAATTTTTTTTTTTAAATGTCAACACCTAAGCATAGCTAGCCCCGGTCAGGACTGTTGTGGAAGATGTTTGGTTAAAAAGTCAAGATCAGTCAAGAAAAATATGTGAAAATGACCCTTAGGAAGAGTTTTCCCTTTTTCCTACTCTCTTTTATTCCCTAAATTCAAAAGGCTATATGAATATAAATAGAATTTATTAGGTGCTATGTTCATTTTAGATTTGTCTTCAATTTTCTGATTTATAGGAAATCTCATTGGAATTAGAAGCAGCAGTGCAAGAAAAAGAAGAAATGAAGAGTAGAGTTCATAATTACATAACTGAGGTGTCACGATGGGAGAGCTTAATGGCTGCCAAGGTGAAAAAACATTAGGTTGGATTTAAGACTTTTTTTTTTTTAACTTTTTCATGTTTATTCTGTCTCCTCTATTAGGTATTAACATATGAGAGTGGAGCTCTTGCCTATTGTCTTTTTTTTATTTCTCCACAGATCTTACTTAGTGTGTGTCTGCCCAGTTAGCTTATGCTTCCTAAATTAAAACAAAAATCCCAATATGTGTATATGTTTGTGACATGGGTATTCCAAAGCGTGACAATTACTAATTTAGAAACAACTTAATTATGCTTAAACCAGGAAAAAGAAAATCAAGATTTGTTAGATAGATTTCAGATGCTTCATAACCGTGCTGAAGACTGGGAAGTTAAAGCCCATCAAGCTGAGGGAGAAAGCAGCTCGGTTCGACTGGAACTCCTTTCTATTGACACGGAGAGGAGACACCTTCGAGAAAGAGTGGATCTATTGGAAAAAGAAATTCAGGAGGTAATACATTGATTTGTCTTGTGACGATGTTATTTAGTAAAACAAAACATTCAAAGATACCTTATTAAAGTGAGATTTAAGCATTGATAAAATCAAGTTCAATGTAATCTTTTGTCGTTAATTCTAATTGTTTAGGAGTCTCATTACTTTTTTTTTAATTGTGGTAAAATATACATAACATCAAATTTACGATTTTAACCATTTTTGAAAGTGTACAGTTCTACAGCAATGAGTGCATTCACATTGTTGTGCTACTGTCACCACTATTCATCTCCAGGACTTTTTTATTTTCCCGAAACGAAACTATACCCATCAAACACCAGCTCCCCCGTCTCCCCTCGCCTAACCTCTGGCAACCACTGTTCTACTTTCTGTCTCTATGAATTAGACTACTCTATGTACCTCATATAAATGGAATCATGTAATATTTGACTTGTTGTTGACTTATTTTACTTAGCCTTAGGATCACTTAACCTCAAGATTCATCCATGTTGTGGCATGTGTCAGAATTTCATTCTTTTTAAAGGCTGAATAATATTTGTATGTACGTACCACATTTTGTTTATCCATTTATTTGTCAATGGATATTTGCTTTGTTTCCCACCTTTGGCTACTGAGAACAATGCTTCGGTGAACATGGGTGCAAAATAGCTATTCGAATCCTTGCTCTCAGTTTTTTAGGATATACCCAGAGGTGGAATTGCTGGGTCATATAGTAATTTTATGTTTAATTTTTTTGAGGAACCACCATATAGTTTTCCTTAAGGGCTGTACCATTTTACATTCCTACCAGCAATGTAAGGGTTCCAGTTTCTCCCTATCCTTACCATCACTTGTCATTTTTTTGGGTTTTTTAAATAATAGCCATCGCAATGCTAGTGAAATGGTATCTCATTTTGGTTTTGATTTACATTTTCTTAATGATTAGTGATGTTGAGCATCTTTTGTGTGTTTATTGGCCATTCGTATATTTTCTTGGAGAAAAGTCTATTCAAATCCTTTGCCCAATTTTTAATCAGGTCATTTTTTGTTGTTACTGAGTTGTGGGAATTATTTATATATTCTGGATATTGATCCCTTATTAGATGTGTAATTTGTAAATAATATCTCCCAAACTGTGGTTTTCCATTTCACTCATTTTATCCTTTGATGTGCAAAAGTTTTTAATTTTGATCAAGTCCAACTTATCTATTTTTTCTCTTGTTGTTTTTGTTTTTGGTGTCATATCCAAGAAATCAGTGCTAAATTCAACATCATGAAGCTTTTCACCTCTTTTTTTCTAAGAGTTTTATGGTTTTATTTCTTATGTTCAGGTCTTTGATCCATTTTGAGTTAATTTTTGTATGTGGTATAAGATAAGGGTCCAGCTTCATTCTTTGCATGTAGATTTAAATAAGCTTCTGTCATAAAGACAGTCTAATAAAATTTTGAGTTCAGTTTAAATATCGGGACCCTAAGTTAGATTGATATAGAAGAGTTGGCTATTAGTTTTGTTCATATAGTATTTTAGTCTTCATTTTTTAGGAGAAAGTCTTGATTATCTGTAGGAGGTAGAATTATGCCCCCCAAAAAGATACATTTAGATCCTGACCCCTGGCACTTCTGACTGTGACCTTATTTGGAAGTAGTGCCGTTATCGATACAATCAAGTTAAAATCAAGTTATACTGGATTAGGGTGGACCCTAGTCTCGTAACTGGTATCCTTATAACGTGAGGGAGGTTTGGACACCGAAGACGCAGGGGAGAACAACACATGAAGACAGAGGCAGAGATTGGAGTGATATGTCTACAAGTCAGGAAACTCCAAGAATTGCCAGCAACCACTAGAAACTAGGAGAGAGACATGGAACAGATTCTCCTTCAGAACTTTCCAAAAGAACCAGTCCTGCAGACACCTGGGTTTCAGACTTGTGGTCTTTAGGACTGTGAGGGGATAAATTCGTGCCCAGTTTGTGGTAATTTGTTATGGCAGCCTTAGGGAACTGATACAGATTTTGGTCCCAGAAAGTGGGATGCTGCTGTAATAAACCTAAAAATGTGAAGGTGGCTTTGGAATTGGATAATGGGTAAAGGCTGGAAGAATTTTGAGGTGCTTGATAGAAAAAGCCTAGATTGTCTTGACAAGATTGGTCATAGAATGATGGATTTTAAAAGTGATTCTGGTGAGGGCTCAGAAAAAAGAGAGGAGAGCTGTAGAGAAAACTTCTATCATTTATAAAATACATAAATCTTCATGAACAGAATTTTTCCAGAAATGTGAATGTTTCTTCTAGTGAGATCTCAGATGGAATTGAGGAATACATTATTGGACACTGGAGAAAAAGTGATCCTTGTTAGGAAATGACAGAGAACTTGACTGAATTATGGTCTACTCTTAGGAGGAAAGTAGAACTTATAAGTGATGAACTTGCATATTTAGCTGAGAAAATTTCCAAGCAAAGTGGCAGGTGCAGCCTGGTTTCTTCTTGCTGCATATAGTAAAATGTAAAGGAAAGAGATAAATTGAGGAAGGAACTGCTTGAGCAAAAAAGGAACCAGGCCTTGATGACTTGGAAAATTCTTAGTGTGTTCTGGAGACAAGGCCAAGAGTGTGGCTCGACAACCTCTTGGTGAGAGATTAGGTGTGTGGCTCACGGATCCAATCAGTCATCTCAGCAGAAACAACTGCCAGCTTGGACTGAAAGAGACAGAAGCAGGATAAGATGAAGGAGAGCTGTTGAACTTCTGGGATCCTACTAGCATAAAACAGGCCAGTCGAGTTACTTGGCTACGAACAGGTGTTCTCCTTCAAGACAAGGGAAGAATGACTCTGAAGATGGCTCAGAGACCAGCAAGGCTGCCAAGGGCAGCTTAAAGGCTAGCGGGGCTGCTACTGCCACCACAGGCCCAGAGGGCGTGGGGTTGCTGCCTCCTTGGTTCCAGAGGGTAGGGTCACTGCCACTGAGGGCCAGGAGGATGGGGCCACCCTAGAAGACCCAGACGCCAGAGCGTTATTCTTAGGCCTTGAGATCTAAGGGAATTTGCCATGCTTGGTTGCAGACTTGCTTTGGACTAGTAACCCCTTTATTCCTTCTGTTTCTCCCTCTCCGAATGGGACTGTCTATCCTATGCCTGTCCCACCATTGTATTTGGGAAGCAGATGACTTGTTTTCTAGTGTCACAGAGCTGTGGAGGGAGAGGAATTTTGCCCCAGGATGGACCATACCCGGAGTCTTACTTATATCTGATTAGATGATGCTTAGATGAGATTTTGGACTTAGAGTTGATGTTGGAATGTTGGGATGGAGTGGTATATTTTGCACTTGAGAAGGACATGAATTTTGGGGAGCCAGAGGGAAGGTAGAAAGATAGATATCTTTAAAAGATTTGTTGAAATCCTAACCCCCAGTACCTGTGAATGTGACCTTATTTGGAAATAGAGTGCTTGCAGGTGTCATCAAGTTAAGATGAGGTCATCCTGGACTAGGGCGAGCCATAACCCGGTGACTGGTATCCTTATAAGATTAAGAGAATTCTGGACACAGAAGACATAAGGGAGAATGCCAGGTGAAGACGGAGGCGGAGATTGGAGTGCTATGTTTACAAGGCAAGGAATGTCAAGGATTGCCAGCAGCTACTAGAAACTGGGAAAGAGACGTGGATCAAATTCTCCCTCAGAAGCTCCAGAAGAAGCCAGCTCTGCTGACATCTAAATTTTAGACTTGTAATCTTCAGAACTGTAAGGGGGTAAATTTCTGTCGTTTTGAGCCACGTAGTGATTTGTAGTAATTTCTTACATCAGTCCCAGGAAACTAATAACTACCTCTATAATTTATTTTTTTTATGTAGTATGTAAAAGAGAGACTTTTTTCTTTTTTTCTTTTTACCTTTTGACTCCCCTTCAATCATTTCTCCCACCACCTGCCCTGCCGACACACACCTCCGGGAAGCGCCAGTCTGTTCTCTGTGTCTATGAGCTTGTGTTGTTTTTTTTAAATTCCGCACATATAAGAGAGATCATATGGTATTTGTCTTTCTCTGTCTGACTTATTTCATTTAGCACAATGCCCTCAAGGTCCACCCATGTTGTCACAATTGGCAAGGCTTCATTCTTTTTTATGGCTGAATAATATTCCATTGTGTGTGTATATATACACAATTTCTTTGCACATTCATCCATCGATGGACACCTAGGTTATTTCTGTCTTGGTTATTGTAAATAATGCTTCAGTGAACATAGGAGTGCATTTATCTTTTCTGGTTCGTGTTTTCGTTTTCTTCAGATAAATACTCAGTAGTAGAATTGTTGGATCATATGGTATTTCTATTTTTAATTTTTTGAGGAACCTCCATACCGTTTTCCATAGTGGCTGCCCCAATTTACATTCCCACCAACAGTGCACAAGGGTTCCCTTTTCTCCACAGCCTCGTCAATACTTGTTATTTCTTGTCTTTTTGATAGTAGCCATTCTAACAGGTGTGAGGTGATATTTCTTTGTGATTTTGATTTGCATTTCTCGAATAATTATGATGTTGAACATCTTTTGGTATACCTGTTGCCCATCTGTATATCTTCTTTGGAAAAATGACTATTCAGATCCTCTGCCCATTTTTTAATAGGATTATTTGCTTTTTTGCTATTGAGTTGTATGAGCTCTTTATATATTTTGGAGTATAATAACTAAAGGAATGCTTTTCAATCTTCAAAAGAGTTCTCAGGAGAAACTTCTTCAGTTCTTTTTTTAATTTGTCATTGTTCATGTTCTTATGTGGTATCTGAAATTGACTTTTACATATTTATATTTAGTTTTGGGGGCTTTGATTTAATTAATTCATTAATATTTGGAAAATCCAAATATTTGCTTTTCTGAAGTTGTTGAAATTTATTAAATCTTCGCAGTACTGTGTTACAGTTTAATGTTGATTCATTTCAGTAAAACCTATTAAAATAATTTTATTTTTCATGTCTAGAATTCTTCCTACACGGTAGAAATAAAGTTTATATTAGGTTGTATTTATCATTCACAATTTAAATTGTGAAAAATTTAAAATGTGGATTATTCTAGGGAAAAAATATTTATCAGTATTTCAGACTTTGCTCATTATTTCAGTTGTTAAAATCTTATAAAGTTGTATATTACTCTTAGGTTAAAGTAAATTTAAATATGACTTCAGGTACAGTAGTCCCTGTTATCCGCAGAGGACACATTCCAAGACCGCAGTGGATGCCTGAAATTGCGGATAGTGTGGAACCCTATATATGCTATGTTTTTTCCTATACGTACATACCTATGATTAAGTTTAATTTATAAATTAGGCACAGTAAGAGATTAACAATAACTAATAATAAAATAGAATAATTATAACAATATACTGTAATCAAAGTTACTGTAGATCTTAGCAACCTCAGCGTATGATTTTTTTCTTATTAAGTAGAGACCTTCTACCTTTTCACTTGAAGCACTCATGGCTTCTCTTTGGCATATCCAAATTGCCAGCATCGCTACTCTTGTGCTTTGGGGCCTTTATTAAGTAAAATAAGGGTGACTTGAACACAAGCACTGCAATACTGCCACTGTTGATCTGATAACTGAGATGGCTGCTAAGTGACTGATGGGCAAGTAGGGTATACAGCATGGAAATGCTGGTCAAGGATGATTCTCATCCCAGGTGGGATGGAGCAGGACAACACAAGACTTTATTACACTACTCAGCATGGCCTGCAATTTGAAACTTAGGAATTGTTGATTTCTGGAATTTTCCATTTAATATTTTCAGACTGCGGTTAACCTCGGGTAACTGAAACCTCAGAAAGCAAAATTGTGGAATACTTGGGGGAGTACTGTATTTAGTTTTAACACAAACTGTGTTTTTGAAATTCAGAATTTAGCTAAAGACAATGGAGTGATAAGTTGCTGTTACTTCTAAGTATGTATGTAAGTATAGGTTTCTTTTTCTGGAAAAGGCATTATTATAGCAGAATTTCTAAAGGAAAAATTGAATGTAACTTCAAAGATGCCTCATATTTACAACACCCTAAAACAATTTCATCTTTGCATCTTCCAAATATATACATGAGGTACTTAGTTACCATGATCAATAATTATAAACAGTTCATTTTGTTAAGCATTAAATAGGCCATCTTTAAAATAGTAGGCAACTTCCTGAGAATATCTTAAAATATGCAAAAGTTGGCTCCTGTTTTTAGAAAGTGAGTTGTGGCCGCTCAGATTCAAGCCTTTAAAATTATTGGGTTACTTTAACTTTTTACCTGTTTCTTTTTCTATTTTCAGCACATAAATGCACATCATGCCTATGAATCTCAGATCTCATCAATGGCAAAAGTGGTATCTAGATTAGAAGAAGAGCTGAGACATCAAGGAGAGGAGAAAGCAGCAGTATTAAATGATATGTCATCTCTTAGAGAACTTTGCATAAAGCTTGATTCTGGGAAAGATATTATGACCCAGCAATTGAATTCCAAAAACCTTGAGTTTGAGAGGGTAAGAGCTTAAAAGATATTGTCGTAGCACATTGTTTTATTGAGCCCTACTCGAATTGTTGCACTTTGCCGTTCAGTACCCAACATATTTGATCCACTTGAGAGTAGTTACTTTGACTACAGGATTTTGACTACTAGGTTCTTTGCCAAGGTTTCTCTGGCAGTCATGGTGATGAAATTAGGTGCTGTCTGTTTGGGGGTGGATGGGTATTTAGAAGACTATGAATCTTCTAATTGTAGCATAGGAGCATATCCCAATACGTTCTTTCTCTGTTTAAGGGTAAGACTTAAATGAAGGAGTGAGCAGTTCATTGCTTCTAAGTGGAATATTTTTTGTAATAAAAATCTCAGAACATTTAAGTCTTACTTAATTTTAAAAGTCTGATTAGCTGGAACTTACCATTCCCAAACCGAAGCATTGCTTCACACAACTCAGTGTATGTTTTCAAACATGGATGTTTTCGATTTTTACTCATTTAGTAGTAGCTTTATTTTCAGATACTGAGAAGCTCCACTACTGGCTTGATTATGTAGTCAGAGTACACGTATTTAATAGACCAAAAGGGCCTCCTTGCTGATAGGGTGGCCACATTTTAGGATTTTATGTTAATGACCCTCTCTTGGCAAGACAGTATGAGAGAAAACTATCTGAGGGTTGGAGTAGGTCTCATAGCCAAATAAGCCTTTACTAAAAATAGCAAAGTTTATTTTGAAAATAAGTTGTTTTCCTTATACTTAAAAAAGTGGTTCAGAATCTTTAACTGGTACCCAGAGTGAAGCACCCGATGTGTATATAGCTCTGCAGATAATTTTTCAGAGTAAGTCTAAAATTGTGCTGAAGTAATCTTACTTTGTTTTTCCTGTAGGTCGTGGTGGAATTAGAAAATGTAAAATCAGAATCAGACCTGTTAAGAAAACAATTGTCAAGTGAGAGACATACAATTAAAAACCTTGAATCATTGTTGGCTACAAATAGAGATAAAGAATTTCATTCTCATTTAACCTCCCATGAGAAGGATACAGAAATTCAGCTACTAAAAGAGAAGTTAAGCCTTTCGGAAAGCAAATTGTAAGTGTCATAAATCAACCTATGTGAGGAAGATAGCTTGTCAAAAATAATTTTTCAATATGAGTAAATTTTTGCAGATTTGTAGCATAAAACAAATGATAAAAAGAATACTGGAGGGGTGCTGGCCCAGTAGTGTAGTGGTTAAGTTCAGCACACTCTGCTTCGGTGGCCTGGGGTATGCAGGGTCAGATCCTAGGCGTGGACCTACACACCACTCATCAAGCCATGCTGTGGCAGTGTCCCACATACAAAATAGAGGAACATGGGCACAGATGTTAGCACAGGGCCACTTTTCCTCAAGCAAAAAAAGGAGGAAGATTGGCAATAGCTGTTAGCTTAGGGCCAATCTTCCTCACTGAAAACAAACAAGCAAACAAAAAATAGTGGAGGAACAGAAAAAAGAATTTTTCGGTTTTTTCGGGGTAGAGGGAGATGGGAGTGTGAAGGGTTGTATAAAACCAAAATATTTTGCCTACGTGGCTTCTGCTTTTGGAAATTCAGGGATTTGAGTTCAAGAGAGACATCTTGTTTGGAGATGTAGATTTGTATATCTTCACCGAAGAGGTCATACCCATGGAAGTGAATGAGTGAACTTTAGAAAAATGCCTAAATTTGAGGAACGAAGAGAGGAGTCAGCAAAGGAGAGAGCACCTCAGGATGGGGAGAGTTGACCCTGTCTCATGCTGTGGATTAGGAAAAAGACTTTGAAAAGGCTATGAGATTTGACCCTCATAAGTATATTGATTACCTTTTGGGAGATTGAGGATGGTGTCTTTTTAGGTTGGAGAGGTTTGGACATATTTGTTGGAAGAGGGGAGGAAACCCAGAGTAGATAGTACGAGTGCAGTAATTATCTCTTAAAAGGAGTTAGGAATACTTCTCTTTCTGAGGCAGGAGTCAGGAAAGAGGCCAGGAAGATTCTTTACGTCTTGGTGGTGCAGTTCATGTCTTGTTTCCATTTGCATCTCCAGCATTGCTGCAGTGCCTGGTGCGAACCGGAAGCTCAGTAAATGTTTGTTAAATAAATGAGATGAATGAAAGAGAAAATTTTGTGATAAAAACTCAAGAAGTTTAGAGAATTACTTTTGAAAAGTCTTGATCTTCTCTTTTTTCTTGCTTAACTATCACCTCCATTTGTATTTATTAATAACAAAAAGAGAAATCCATAGCACTTGACAAAACAGAATATTTGCTATTCATTCCTTTGATTTTTAAAATTTGTTTTTAAGAAATAGTCAAAGCCGGGAAAACACCATGCTTCGGGCTAAAGTGGCACAGTTACAAACAGATCATGATGCTCTGAAAAGGCAGATTTCAGCTGAAAGATATGAACGGTGAGAAAAAACTTTAACATTGATCAATGTTTTTATTTATTCCCTATCCTGTTCCAAAAAGGATTTAATATGGCTTACAAGTGGCAAACTTTTTTAGCATTAATAAAATTTTTTAGTAATTCTCCTAAAGAGGCAATAGGTGTTACGAAAGATAATATCCCTGCATTAAATAAAATAGCAAATATTGTGTAAATTTCCTGTAGCGTTCCTCAGGGCAAGATTAGGGCGTTACTTCAAAGGATGCAGCTAGGGAATCAAGAAGACAGTAAGGATTCTACAAGAGCCCAAAACAATATGGTCCAATAGGAAGCTCCAAATGCAAATCATCATAAAAGTGATGATGCTGATGATCATAAGGGCAGTTAACAAATATATGCCAGATACTATGTACATGTCTGATTAATCCTATTAACAATCTATTAGGCCTCTATTATGGGAAACTGAGATCACACAAATAGTAAATAGCAGAGCCAAGACTAAAATCCAAGCAGATCTGCCTAGTTTTAAAGGCTGTACACTTAACCTTTACAATAGATTTCTTACAGCTTAGTAATTTTCATCCTTACATTTTGGTTCATTTGCTTTATTATTTTGAAAAATTTAATCCCCAAGTGATACAAACAGGAATGAGACCTTCTTTAACAGTTAAAGTCAAAGTCTAATGTGCAAATCAACTGTCAAGTTACTTTTCTTCCCTTCTGCTTTCCTACTGTGTTAATACCATAGACATCAGCATTCCTGAAATTTCATTCTCAAATAGCGGTCAAATTGCTTATTGGGTCAATTTTTGAGTTCTCTTATTCTTATCCATTTGCATCAAAACTTTTGAGTGATGTGCTGTTTGGAATATACATGGAAAAAATGTCTAAAAAAGTTTCTTAACGGAGTTAATAGTGAAAAAAGGTTTGTGAAACACCCAACTAGGTAGAAATCCTGAACACTGAAGAAGTCAAGGCAGAAAAGTCTGGGCCACCTACTGAATAGCCACAAAGGAGGTGGCAACACAGCTACTGTGCTTTGTGGGGCAGACACAGACATGGAAGGAAAGCATAGCAGAGAGAGTGGGTTATTTCACTCCTGACATTTGGGAGTTTTGAGGCAGGAAGAAGGAAGAGGGCTGATTTACGTGCGACAAGAGGTGTGAAAGGAAGGGCCAGAGGAGGGAACCAACCAACTTTGAAAGTCTCTGTTCAGAGGGGCTTTGAACACTCCTATGATCCATATTCCTTTAATTGAAATCTTTTATCCATTACTTAGAATTCATAGAAAGACGTAGGACTTAAATTTAGTAGAAATACTAATTAATTAGTTGAGTAGAAATTACTTAATTAGCTAATAAGAATAACAGCACCTTATGTTTATATACCACGTTTTTGATGTAATCTCTTATTTGATCTTTACTGACAGAGAACGAGCAATCCAAGAGATGCGTCGCCATGGTCTTCCCACACCACCCCTCAGTTCTACTCTGAGGTCTCCTTTACATTCTCCTGAAGACGTGAACTGAGAATTATCAGAAAGGTAGGTACGTAACACCAAGGACAAGCAAAACTAGTCTATGGTTATAAAAATTCAGAAGGGAGTTTTCTGTGTGGGCGGAGGGGAGGTTGCCTGTAAAGGTGGTCAGCAGAACTTTCTGAAGTGATGGGCTCCCTTCTGGTCATAACCTCTGCTCTAAAAGTAACTGTCTTGATTACTAAAAGCATAAGTTCCTTTTCCGTGTTTTGGACATTTTATAAATAAAATCATACTTTTCTGGCTTCTTCTCGGCAGTATGTTTGTGAGATTCAGCCATTCTGTTGTGTGTACTTGTAGATTGTTTAGTCTTGTTGCTGCATAATGTTCCATTATGTGTTGTTGATGGACATTTTGTAACTTCCAGTTTGGGCTATTACAGATAGTTATGATGAACACTCTAGGACCTGTATGTTGGTGAAGAGCTGTGTGCATTTCTTTCGAGGATACACTTAGGAGTGACACTGTTGGGTCACTGGACATGCGTGTTCAGTGCATGTCATGTCATTGGACATGCATATGTTCAAGCTTGAGTAGATATGGCAAAGCAGTTTCCAAAGTAGTTGTAAAGAGCGAGGACACTGGCTGCAGAAGGGTCAAAGGATGTACTGATTCTTTGTAGATGGGATGAGTGGGAAAGAAGCGTGTCGGGCCCGGGGTTTAAAAGGTGGATGATTGTGAAAAATGCAGGCTCGTTGACAGGAATAGTAAAGTCATTCTGTTTAAAAATTATGCATTTCTTTACCTCTTTTAATAGAAGTATATAGAAGATAAGCATTTCCTGGATGACTCAGAATCCTTATCCTGAACGTTAGTTATGCGCCGTGCTTTAACATACTGATTCCACCAGGGTTTATCGGTGTCTGTAGGGCCTAGGTTTAAGTGATTCCTGATGACTGTGCTTTTGCTTTTGCGTGTGTGTTTGATTAAAACATACGGTTTTCTCTTTGACTTTGAGGACCACTTCTCACTGCTGGCTGCCGTCACTGTGTCCTTCTAAGTTCCTGCATTAATTTGAATGCGATTAGATGGAAGTTCAGCTTCTTGTTATAAAGCCTTATAGCGGTTGTGACACAGCTGCATTTTAGATCAGGGGTTGGTAAAGAGGATCTGTGGGCCAGATCACCCCACTACCTATTTTGGTAACTTCAGCTTTATTGGAGCATAGCCACACCCGTTTGTTGACATATTGTCTATGACTGCTTTTCCACACTGGCAGAATTGAGAACTTGTGACAGGAACCCTGTGACCCACAAATCTAAAATATTTACTATCTAGCCCTTTATATCTTGTAGCCTCTGGAAAACAACTGTACACCCATGAGATAATAAGACCAAAAAAGCAAATAATTCCCTAGTTTTATGAAAATAGACTTGACCTTATAGACCCCCTAAAAGGGTCTTTGGGACACCCAGGGATCCCCAGACTATACCTTAAGAACCACTGTTATAGAACATAGTAGAATCCAGCAATCTCTAAAGCTGTGATGAGTTAGAAAACTTTTTTTAAATTACAGTAAAATATATAACATGAACTTTGCCATCTTAACGTGTGTGTGTGTGTGTGTGTGTGTGTGTATATAAGATTAGCCCTGAGCTAACATCTGTGCCCATCTTCTTCTATTTTGTATGTGGGACACCTGCCACAGCATGACTTGATAACTTGTGGGTACGTTTGCGCCTGGGATCCAAACCGGCGAACCCCAAGCTGCCGAAGCGGAGCACGCAAACTGAACTGCCACGCCACTGGGCTGGCCCCACCACCTTAACTGTTTTTTAAGTGTGCAACTCAGTGGCACTAAATTCACAATGTTGTGCAACCATCACCATTTCCAAAACCTTCTCATCGCCCCAAACACAAACTCTGTACCCATTAAGCAGTAACTCTCCAGTCCCCCTGGTAACCTCTAATCTGCTCTTCTGTCTCTCTAAATTTGCCTATTCTAGATTTTTTCATATAAGTGAAATCATGCAGTATTTGTCGTTTTCTTCTGGCTTATTTCACTTAGGATAATGTTTTCAGAGTTCATCTATGTTGTAGTATGTGTCAGAGGTTCATTTCTTTTTATGCCTGAACAATATTCTTTTATATGTTTACACCACGTTTTGTTTATTCATCATCAGTTGATGGACACATGGGTTGTTTTCACCTCTTAGCTGTTGTGAATAATGCTACTATGAACATGGGTGTACAAGTATCTGTTTTAGTTCCTGTTTTTCAAATCTTTTGGGAGTACCTAGGAGTAGAAAGTTGCTGGGGTCATATGATAATTCTATGTTTAACTTTTTGAGTACCTGCCAGACTTCTTCCATATGGCTATACCATTTTACATTCCCACCAGCAATGTAGGGGTTCCAGTTTTCCACATCCTTGCCAACACTTGTTGTTTTCCATTTTTTTTATTATAGCCATCCTAGTAGATGTGAATTAGAAAACTTACACAACCATTAGCAAATTCTCAGAGTAGCCTAATGATGTTGTTAATTGGTAACCGATTTCCATTCATATTTTCTAAATATTGTCACCCAAACTAATTTTAAGGGATTTCCACATAAGTACTCAGAAATGAATATGAAATATTCATATCTGATAGTTAAAATATATAATCCAATTTTGTTTTTACTTTTTAAAATTATTGTTTCCAATACATGCTCACTGAGAAAACACAAAATACAAAAGTAAAAAGAAGGAAACAAAAATCACCTTTTTTCCCTTTTTTTATTGTGGTAAAATATGTATAACATCAAATTTATCATTTTAACCATTTTTAAGTGTACATTTCTCTGGTAGTTAGTACATTCACGTTATTGTGCAAAACTAATCTCCACCATCCATCTCTAGAACTTTTTTATCTTAGCTGATTGAAGCTCTGTACACATTAAACACTAACTCCTCACTTTCCCCTTCCCCCAGCCCCTGGCAACCACCATTGCAATTTCTGTCTACGAATTTGACTACTCTGTGTACCTTGTATAAGTGGAATCATATAATATTTGTCCTTTTGAGACTGGCTTATTTCACTTACCGTAATGTTTTCATCCATGTTGGAACGTGTGTCAGAATTTCCTTCCTTTTTGAAGCTGTATAACAATATTCCATTGGATGTATATGTCACATTTTGTTCATCCATTCATCTGTCAATGGATGCTTGGGTTGCTTCCACCTTTTGGCTATTGTGAAAATGCTGCTATGAACATGGATGTGCAAATCAAAATCACTTTGATCCTGCAACCCAAAGAAAATAGCAGTTAGCATTTTGGTGTGCTTCCTTCTTGTATTTAATTTGTAGTGAACATACACACCCATGCCTAGACATACATATGTAATTCTAATAGAGATCATACTCAAAATAATTTTTATCCTGTTTTTTTGTTTTGTCTTATTCTTTAGGATTTTTTCTCATTGTGGTTGCAAGCATTTATTCTTATCATTAAAAGCATTTTCAAAAATGCCATTTTAAAATAGTAATCTAATGATTCATCACATGGATATTCCAAGATTTATTTAATCATTCTCCTCTTCTGGGATGTATAGCTTATTTCCAAGTTTTTCTGTTATAAATGATGTTTTACATCAGTATTAGACAACATGTCTAATATCTTCTTAAGTATGTCTTCCTAGGTATAGAAAAAGATGATTGTTTTCTCTCTCTGTTTCCATTGTGGGATTTTTCGTATTTTAATGGGTGTGTTTTAATTGGGAGGGTGATTAGATAGCACGTAAGGTCAAAATATTTGGAAAAAATATTTGATTATCCATAGTGTGCTATTCTAAGACCCAGGCAACATAATTTAGAGTACTTGTGTATAATTTTATTACAGCTAGGCATCATACGATCCCTTCTTTTGAGTGGTTTTTTCAGTTAACCTGCTCTATTCTTTTCACTGTGCATCATTCCTTTAGTCCTCCTGTACTTTGAAGTACTTTGGTAGTTTGAGGGGAATATCTCTTTGAAGTATAGAACAGTACTTCTTAACTATTAAATATAACTTGATTGTGGGCAAAGGTTTTATTAGCGACTAATTTCAATTAAAACGTTACTGACTTTCCGTTTTTCGTGAACGTACTAAGTAATTTTGTTTGTCATTTTTCTCTTAACTCACCTTTTTCCTCCCCTTCTTTTTCAGAATGATGACTTTCAATGAGTTTGCTATATGGATTTCTTTAAAGGACAGAACAGTAATGAAATATTTGAAGTACTTGTTTCTGAAAATCATGAACATTGACACAGATTCTACCTCGGTCAACTTTTATTTAAATCAGTGAATATTTATGTAAAAAATTTGGTTTGAAAGAGCTGAATGTGTATATTTTCATATATATAACAGAACAAAATATGTATTAATAGTGCTAACTAATATCTGTATTTTTTATTATTCCTGACTTAAATTACTCCTCAAAGTGTGTTTATACTGTGAATTAGTATAATGTATTGTTCACATTATGCTTTAATAATCTTTTTCTTAATGAGCCGTGATATATATATGTAAATATTCTTACATACTTGTTTTCAAAGTGTTTTTAGTTTTCATGCCTGTGTTTATAACCCATATCTTTTTCACATTCACAAAGTATTATCAACTTTGATGGTATGTTGTCACACTTAACTTTTTTCTTCTGAATGTAAAATTAATTATTCACCAATTTGCTGTCTGTCATCGAGGGGAATATATTCAGGTCTATTCTTATAACAGCAGAGGTCTTGATAAAATAATAATTACCATATGTGATTTGTTATTGCCAACTAGAAGAACGGTGATGGCAAAGATACGTTTATGTGTTATATACAAAATTATATCATTTTGGCTATCACATGTAATACAAATTCTATCAAATCAAAATAAAGCTATGTTCAGATTTTTGTAAATCAATAGAACAGAAATTAGGGACACTTTTCAGTAAATAAAATTCCTCACTATATTAATCTAAAATTTCAGAGTATAAAAATAGATGGGGTAAATTTTGTTAAAATTCTAATATACATTCAATAATATCAATTTTTTTGCTTCTAAACCTGTATGTTGTAATTTATGAGTCTTCCAGAACAGTATGTAAACACTGAACTGTGGCATATTAAATAGAAAACAACTTTTTACAATTAATATACAAAGTTGTAATTTTTAAGAATTTAGATATATACGTATATTAGTAGAAGAACAGAAGTACAAAACAGAATGCCAGATACAAAAACTAATCGTGTTTGAACCATAACCATTTAAAGAAAATCCTCTTCTTAATAGATTTCATTATGATTGCAAAAGAACTTAAAAACTACATAGGAAAGTGGAAGACCAACTATTTATGATACATGTTGTTTCCTCCTGTGGTTTAATGAAGTGGAGTGTATGTGTGTGTGTGTTTGTGTGTACCTGGGGGTGGGCAGTGCTCTTTTTCTAAAACTAATATGCCTTATATGTTCAGGTTATGCCCTTTGCAATAATTCAGTGTGTGTTTGGTGTGACATGGCTTACTTTTCCACCATCTTTGTAATTTTATGTATTCCATCTGCTTTGTGTGAATTCGTGTATTATAGCAAAATACAAGAGAAATGGATCTATTTGCGATGTCATAAGGAAAATCTTTTAATAAACATGTAAATAAAATAAAAAATATTTGTCCCCACCTTTTCCCCCAAAGCAACAGCAAGAACTATTTTGATAGATGTTTTATTTTTAATGTTTTCTATAATTAAAAAATGTGTAGCTTGCCATAATTATTTTCATAACCATGATACTACAATTTTTTAAAAATTAATTTTATCTTAAAATACTGAATGTTCTGACCTTTTATAGATGTTTTTAATTTGTTTTAAATAATTTTAAGTTATAGAGCTTGACACAAATTTTCTAATAAACTTTCCAGTCAATTTATTTTCTCTTTCTTACAGATAGATTTTTCTAGTTTTAGCCATATTCTTAGTTCTCAAATTGGGTACAGTTTATTCAATTCAAACTTTATCATGGTGGGATATGGGGAAATCCTTGAACTTAGCTGTCAGGCACTTTTTTTAAACTTTCATTTGTTTCCAATTAGTTCAAAATATAGGAAATGAAGTCAAAGTTTCTATTTGAAATCCATGTACAAAATGGTTAAACAAGAGCGTGTGTGTGTGTGTGTACATTTTTCTCTTTTGTGAATGGTCTTCGTTGAGAACATCAATTATCGTTGACTATGCCACCTGCTACCTGTCCTTATTGCAACTTATCACACATCTGATATCATACCCCTCTCTCTAATTCTTAGAAGATTTTAGCATCTGGCTTACTGTCTCTCTACTGTTAGTTCTTTCATCAGTCTTTTTATGTCGGTATCGTCTTGGAACAGTGGTTATTGACCAGGTCCGTACTTTGAAGTTACCTGGACAATTTTAATGAAAAGCTGATTCGTGAACCCTACACCAGTCCAGATAAATCAGAATCTCGGAGCGCAATGTGGGTATTTTTTTAAATTGTAGATTCTCTAGATGATTCTAACGTGCAGCCAGGATTTAAAATGCTAATTTAGAAACTGCCTCACCAAACTGATTTCATGGCCCACTAGTGGGACTCAATCTATAGTTTGAAAACACTGCTCCAGATCTTGTCATTTCCTCACAAAATCTCAACTTGTAGCATCCTGTTCACCTCTCTTTCTAGGTCATTCGATTTATTATGCCTATCCTAACAATTGCTTGATTCTACCCGGATCTCCAGACCGTTGATTCTGTCACTCATCCCTTGTCTGTAAGTCCGTCACTCTCCCTCTCCTTGTTCTCTAGCATAGACATCATTCTCCTTGCATATACCCTAAATCATCTTTTCTCTTTGAACTGAGAACTCAAATCTTGTTTATATCCAACTACTTCTCTGTATATTCTCTGTTTATTCTCCAACTACTCTGCATCTGTACTAAGTAGCTGAACGTGGCTGGAGAAACAAAACCATGCTGACTTTTCACTTGAAATGTACAGCCCTGAAGATCAACGGCCCACAGCACTGTATGACAGTCCTTACACATTTTCCTGGTCAGTTCACACTTAACCTCTCCCCAACAAGTGTCTCACAGCTTCTCCGCTCTACTCAGACCTTCTGTCCTCCCTCCTCATTCTCTGCTTGTTTCTTTTTTCACTGAGAAAATGGAAACAGTAAGACTTTTTCACCCTCCAGGTCTATTAATAACACATCTGAATCCATATAACTTCCTTCCCTCCTATCATAACATGAACTGTTCCATCTGGTTGTGACCAGTATCCCTTCCTTCCACTACTTAAAAACGCTCCTGCAATTAACCCCACATTCCTGAGTCATTTTTGCACTATTGGCTTGTTCCCACTTGCATACATACCTCCCATTTTAAAATCCTCCCAGACCCTACCTTTCCATTTTTAGCACACTTTATAGCTAGAATTCCTTGAAAAGAGTTATCTTTACTCACTTCATCCCCTTTTTACCCCCACTTTTCTTCTTGGACTTTTCCAGTCTTGCTTTTTTCTCGTTACTCCAGTCAAACCATTCTTGTCAAGGTACCAACAACCCCATGTGTTTTTTATTTCCACTATTACCTTTTTCACAGCTAATATTTCCACTAGTGCTTTTTTGTAATGTTTTGTACTTACTTGATGCTGCTCCTATGTTCCTCTGAGGAAGGAGTGGGCATAGATATAGCTTTAAAATGAATTAGTTTATCTGAAGATAAGATGGAGAACTTCTTCCAGAAAGCATCAGAAATAGAGATTGAAAGTGTAGAAGAAAAGATAAGCATTATAGAGGATATTACCAACATCGAGGTAATAATAAGCCTTAGAAAAGAGAAATATTAGAAAGGAATGCAGAAAATATTTTAAGAAATAATGGAGATAAATGTCCCCAAATCAAAGAAGGATATAGTCTGAGGTCTTTATTAAAAGGGCTCAGAGAAAGCCAAGTAGGAGAGAAGGAAAAACCCACATTTAGACACAATATCAAAGAAAGGAGAGAAATTTATATAAAAACTTCCAGAGAGAAAATGGGTCACCTAAAAAGAAACAAGGATCAGTTCTGCATCTATTATGGACTGAATGTGTCCCCCTAAAATTCCTGTGTGGAAATTCTGCTCCCCAATGTGATGATGTTAGGAGATGGGGCTGTGGGTAGTAATTAGGTCATGAGGGTGGAGCCCTCATTATTGGGATTAAAAGAACTTGTAAAATGAACCTTGCCCTTGTAAAAGGAACCCTAGAGAGCTCTCTTGCCCTCTCTGCTTTGTGAAGATACAGCAAGAAGTCAGCAGTCTGCAACCCAGAAGAGGGCTCTCACAAGAACCCAGCCATGTTGGCACCCTCATCTTGGACTTTCAGCCTTTGGAACTGAGAAATGAATATATATTGTTTATAAGCTACCCAATCAATGGTAAATTGTTACTGCAGCCCAAATGGACTGAGAACATCAAACTTCTCCATAGCTACACTGGAAACCAGCAGTGTAGTATTTTTGGAGTACTGAAAGAAAAGAATTTTGAACCTATTAACTTTATAACTAGCTATGCTATCATTCAAATCTGAACGTATAATAAAAATGTTCTTAGGCATGCAAAGTCTTGGAAGTTTTATCAGGTGAAGATCCACACTGAAAACACTTTTGGAGGAAGAGAAGTAAGCATAGAAAATACTGCAAGAGATATGTGAATTAAAGATAATCAAGTAGCTTGGCAAAGTCTGTTGTACTAATAAAAAGAGGGGGAGGGAGAAAAAGAAAAGGAGAAAGTATATCCGTAATAATTCAGGACAAAAATTCTAGAATCTGGATAATACCAATGCACTGGGTGGTGGGGAAAAGGAGAAAAAGAGCACATAGGAACGTGAGAAGAGGTGAAATACTTGTCTTGTTGGGAGAGGATACAAATATTGATGTTTCAGGGAGAAATAACACAAATATGTCTTAAGAGCAACTATCATAATGATGTAACAGTAAACACTTACGTAGGACTTTATTCTTACCAAGCACTATTCTAAGAGTTTTAACATATGTTACCTTATTTAATTCCCACAACAACCATATTCTCCTTTGTTCTCATTTTACAGATGAGGGCACAGGCAAGAATTGCCCATGGACACATAACTAGTAATGGTGAAGTCACTTTTAGACAATTTTTAAAGAGATTTAACATTTAAATGAGCGTAACAAAACTTTTTCTGCAATAGAAAGCAAGAAAAGAGGAAAAAAAGAAAGTTGAAGTTCAGTAGGTGGAAAATATGAAATGAGATGGCAGAAATAAATCCTTATGTTAGAGTAACCATGATAAATATAAATGGATAAAATTCATCAATTAAAAGACAAAGTCAAATTGGATTTAAAAAATACGTCAGCTACAAGAGAAATATATTTAAAAATAAAAAGGCATAGAAAGTTTGAAAACAAAGGATGGAAAAAGATTTACCAGGCAAATGGGAACCAAGAGAAAGCTAGAGTACTTATCATCTGACAAGATAGAATTTTAGGGGGGGAAAAAGGTGTTATATACTGGTCAAGAAGAACAGAACAAGCGGATATAGTCATCATAAATATACAGCCAAATATATATATATATATATATATATATAAAACTCCACACCCAACAAACTGAGTACGCATTTTTTTAAGCCCATTTTTAACTTTTAAAAAATAGACCACATATTAACCCTTAAAGGAAGCGTCAAATTCAAAAGGATTAAATCATGTAAATCGTTTCTCTGACCATAATGCATAAAATTAGAAAATAATGAAAGGATAGAAGAAACTTCAATGTGTTTGGAAACTTAAAAATTTGCTTCTAAATTACTCTTTGCTAAAGATGAAAATCATAGAGAAAATGAAATAATTTAGACCGGTAGTTAATGATAATAGAACCACTAGAATCAAAATTGTGGGACATGTAGGAATAATTAGAGGAAAACCTATAACTTTAAATATGTTAATTGGGAAATAAAAACTTAACAAACGAGCAAGCATTTAACTCAAGGGATTGGAAAAAAGTAACAGCAACCTCTGCTCCCCCTTAAAAAATAATGGAAATAATAAAGGACAGAAAACAATGAGTTAGAGAACAATAACATCAACTGAAAAAATTGAGATTAAAAACCCGAGTTGGATCTATAAAAGGACTTATTATTAAGCTTTACTTGAAATGACTTATCAAGAAAATATACATAAAATTCAAAACAAAAAAGAAATAACTACAAAAACATCAGATATCAAGAAAATTAAAATATGAAGAATGATTATATGCTAATCTATGAAATTTTCACGAAAATTAAAAATGTTGAAATTTGGTGCAAGAAATAATATTGAACTCAACTAGAACAATATGTGTTAAAAAAAATCGAGACATGGTCAAATATGAAAGGTCTGGGATTTTATTTTACCTTATTTACAAGCTAATAAGTTAACCTATTGCTGTTTCCTGGGTGCTGGCAGAAAATAGGAGACCCCCTGGGTCAGAGACAAAGGCCTTTGTTACTCATGGCACAGCTGGCAGCATTAGCATCATGTTTGCACTGGTTGTCGTTAATACTCCAAGCCCCCACAGGGGCATGTGGAGGAGCCCAGAAGAATTCTAGGCATGCAGAAGTTCATGTCACAACCCAGGACCACTGAGTTTAGGGAATCCATCTCTTTTACAGAAGCAGTTAGTAAGCTTGCTCTTTGTCACAGAAGGAGACGTTGCCTTATCCCACAAGGTTGCTCACTGCAAACACGATGCTGAGGAATGGCCTGAGTAAATATCAATCAGGGCCTTGCATTCTTGGCCTACCCACAACAAAAATGTACAGGGATGCTAAGGGTCCATGGCAAATTGCCTTTCCCAAGGATAATCCACCCCTTGACCCTATACATTCTTAGCCAAATTTGAGTTTTCGTATAAGTATGCCACTCCA